ACACTCACTCGTCGCCGTCGGGGCACACGCCACTCGCCTCGTCGTACTTGGAGCAGTACACGTCTGGGCTGTAGTTGAAGGTGCCGTCGCGCCTGCGGAGCGGTCTGCGCCGACGCTGATTTAGGAAATGCCAATGGAAACAGGTAAATGGCCTGTGCTGGGTGCACTTGTGCTGCACAAACAGGGAGCATTGCTCTGTCCTAAACTCCTTTAGATACCTAAAAAGACAAACAGCGTTGCGGGTCGCTTCCGCAGGCGAGCAGCCTGGAGAATCGTGGGCGGGATGACCTGACCCCACAGGCCCAGAGGAACCCGACCTCTGGCGCGACCCCCATTCCGAGTCCAGATGTCTCCAGACTGCAACCACCCACCCCCGATCCTGAGTCCGGACGCATTTCCCGGACCTCAGTCTTGATCCCCCAGACAACATGCACAGTCCCCCTACCGAACGCAGACGCGACACTGCGACCCAAGGCGCGGCCCGGCCCCCAAGCTCAGGTGTCATCCCTGACCCCAGGCGCAGCCGCCCATCCCGGACCCCAGGCGCAACCCTTCACTCGGAGTTCAAATGGCCAAAACCAGACCCCCGCCCAGGAGCGTTCCTCGGATTCTAGGCATAGTTTGCCGACCCCAGACACGATCCCCCAGAACCCGGACGCAGACCCCCGACGCAGACCCCCAGGCGCCACTGCCAGTCCGACTCCAGATGATCCCAGGCAGCCGCCTCCTTCCTCTGAGCCCGGGAGCGTTTCCCAGACCTCAGGTGCTACCCCCCAGACTTCATGCGGAACAACCCATCCCGACCACAGACGCGACTCCCAACTTAAAGCGCGACACCGTGACCCCAGGCGCGCCCGATCCCAAAGCTCAGGTAACATCTCCGACCCCAGGCGGAGGCAACACTAGTCCAGATGGCCGCCCTCCACGCAGCCCAGGTGCGGTCCCCCATCCCGGATCCCAGGCGAGTTTTCCGCGTCCCTCACTCCGACCCCAGGCGCAGTTCCTCGACCCCCAAACAGAGGCGCGTGGACCCCGGACCCCTGGCGCGTTCCTCAGCAACCAAGCCCAGGTGCTACCCCAGACCCTGGGCGCCGACACCCGACCTCAAACAGTGGCAGCCAGAGTCGAATAGTGGGCCGCCCGCCCAGAGCTCAGGCGCCGCGCCGGCGGCGGCCGGGTGCGGCGGAGGCCGGGGATGGCGCGCGGGGCGTGGGACGGGGGCGGCACCGGGCCCCAGGCCGCACCCAGCGTCGGCACCCAGGCCCAGGGGCTTGCGGGCGCGGATTAGGGGCTCACAGGGCCACCCCCGCCTCGCTCCCGTCCCCGCCGCGGCGGCTGGGACACTGACCTGTAGTGGGTCGGCTTCTCAGTCTGCGGGGGGGACCCGCTGAGCGCCGCCGCGGCCGCTTTCGAAACAGACGGCATTTTCAGTCAAAACAATGCAGCGCGCATGCGCCGCTCAGGCCTGCCCCCGCCCCTCTGTATCTCCCCCGCGTTAGCAGCCCACCTTCCCCCTCGCCCGGCCGGCCACGCCCACCCGTCCCGCCCTGGCCGCAGCCCCAGTTTGCGCCTCCCCGGGAGAAGCAGGCCGGCCAGCATCCAGCGGCCAGCAAACTTCCCACGGCGATCCTCGCGGACCCCAGACCCAGCCCCGCCAGGGACACACCCCGAGCGCTTGGCGGATGCCACTCCCGCATCCCTCCTGCATGGCGTCGCCCCCACCCCAGTGGGCGCCGGTCGTCCCAGTGCACACCCACCCTGCACTCTCACAGCCCTTCTTCTGCCTGCTGCTGCCCCGCGCTCTCTGCTTGCCATGTGTAACCTGGAGCTCGGCTCCAAGAGGCGATGGAGCCAACAGGTCCCGGGTTTTTAGACGGCCTGCCCAGGCTCCTCAGTCACACTTCACTTATTCACTGACTCTGACCTCGTGCTACGTGCGGAAGCCGAAAAGAATGGGTCCAATTGCTTAAGGCTGGATGTGGGAGAGATGGGGAGGCACAGGACGTGACTGCTCCTGGGCACAGAGCTTATTTAAGGGAGTATAAACATGTTCTAGAATTACATTGTGGTGATGGGTACCCCCTGTGAACACAGTAAATATCTTTCATTGTATATTTTAAATGGGTGAATTGAATACTATGTGAACTATACATCAATAAAGCTTTTTGTCTATTTTATTATTATTTTTGATTATGCTATTACAGTTATCTTTTTTCCCCTTTGCCCCCCTCGACCCAGCACCCTCCACTTCCTCAGGCAATCCCCCCACCATTGTTCATGCCCATGGGTCATGTGTTGAAAGTTCTTGGCTACTCCACTTCCTATACTGTACTTTACATCCCCATTGCTATTCTGTTACTACCTATTTTTACTTCTTAACCTCCTCAGCTCTTCACCCATTCATCCCCATCCCCCTCCCCCAGCAACCTTTTGGTAACTAACTTCTTTTCTCTTGCTTTTAAGAGCCTCTTTAACTGCCTTTTGATTCTAGATATCTTTGCTGGGTAGAGCAATCTTGGCTGTAGGTCCTCGCTTTTTATGTCTTTGAATATTTCTTGTCAATCCTTTCTAGCCTGCAATTTCTTGAGAAATCAGCTGACAGTCTTATGGGAACTTCCCTGTTGGAGGTAGGTAACTGCTTTTCTCTTGCTGCTCTCTTCTCTCTCAATCCTTAACCTTTTGCACTTTAATTATGATGTGTCTTGGAGTGGGCCTCTTGTGCTTCCTGGGCTTGCATGTCTATTTCCTTCACCAAATCAGGGAAGTTTTCTTTTACTATTTTTTCAGACAGATTTCCAATTTCTTGCTCTTTCTCTTCTCCTTCTGGCACCCCTACGAGGCAAACATTGGACCTCTTAAAGTTGTCCCAGAGCAACTTTATACTTTCCTCATTTGGGGGGGATTGTTTTTTCTTATTGCTCTGTGTGGTTGTTTTTTGGTTCTTCATGTTCCAAATTATTGATTTGATTCTCAGCTTCATCCACTCTACTGTAAATTGTTTACTTCAATTCATGTAACCTTCATTTATGACTGGGTCTTTCTTATCCTGCTGAGGTCCTAAGTTCCTTGAGCATCCTTATAACCAGTGTTTTGAACTCTGTATCAGATAGGCTGCTTTTCTCCATTTCGTTTAGCTTTTCCTGGAGTTTTAATCTGTTCTTTCATTTGGGCCATGTTTCTTTGTCTTCTCCTTTTGGCAGCCTCCCTTTTTGTGTCTATGTATCAAGTAGAGCTGCTTTGACTCCATGTCTTGGTAGTGTGGCCTAATGTAGTAGGTGTCCTGTGGGGTCCCATGGCACAGCCTCCACTGTCACCCAAGCTAGATACTGAGTACACCCTCCTCTTGTAGTTGAGCCTTGGTTGCTGTTGGGTGGGATTTACCCAAGCGTCAGCTACAAGGACTGGCTGTGACCATGGACCACCAACCTCTGCCCCCCTGGAGGATCAGCTGTGCAGGGGCAGGGCGGTAGTGCTCTGATATGGTCTGCAGCTGTCCACTGGAGGTGTTGGCCCTGGGATTTCCTTGGTGGTGCAGGCCAAGGTCAGACCCACCTGTGTTTTTCCCGGGGCACCCTGACTGAACTGTAAAGCAACCCGAGGGCTACTGGCACTGGGCTGGAGATTCCCAGGCAAAGGCTAGCTGTGACTCTGATCTGGCTGCTGCTACAGCTCACTGAAGCCAGATATTGCTTGATAGGATTTAGGAGCCAAGACTAGCCATTCTTATGGAAAAGCACCTTGGGTGGGCCTGTAAGTTGGGTGGGGTAGAGCCTCGTTGGATATCCGAAGTGGGTCACACAGTGTTAGCCGGGTTGATGGAGCCTCATGATACCAGCCTAACAGCTCTGTGGGGGAAAGGCTCAGCAAAGGGACAATAGCCTTTGCTTGCCCAGATGCCAAACACTTCAGTCTCTCCCTGTAAAAGTGGTATACAGGTGCCCTTCGAACAGCCACCTCAGTGCTGGAGCTCAGAGGGATTAAGTCTGAGTAGGTGACTCTGTGTGTGGGTTCAAGAGGAACTACCTGGGGCTCCAGCAGCCTCCTCTAACTCAATCCCCACTGGTTTTTGAAGCCAGAAGCTGTGGGGACTTATCTTCCTGGCACTGGAATCCTGGGCTGGGGGGCCTGGTGTGGGTCTGGGACTCCTCGCTCCTGAGATATCCCTCCCTAATTCTTATCCATGTCAGTGTCGGGCCAGCTAGTTCTGTGACCATGCCACTCCTGCCCATCTGGATGCATGTGGTTTCTTTAATTCTGTAGTTGTCAGACTTCCATTCAACTCAATTTCTGATGTCCCTGAGTGATGGTTGTTCTGTATTTTAGTTGTAATTTTGATGTGTTTGCACAAAGAAGTAAGCCATGTCTGCCTACACTGCCATCTTGACTGGAAGCCAATAAAGCTGATTTTTAAAGAAGAATCCGAGGCTCACTGTCCCCAACAGGGTGGGAACTCAGAAACAGCTACCAGTTGCCCCTGTTCAGCCGGCCATGGAGTTAAGAACCAGGGTGTGCATTTCAGGACACAACCCAGGCCCAGAGTACATTATTCTGCAAACGTGCGGCAGAAGAGACATTCTTTAATTGTTCAACTCCGCTACTTAATAAAAAAAAATGCAAACGAAAACAAGGGATGAGCACTGGAGTGGGCAGACTTCTTTTGTTCTCAACAGCAACCTGCGATGTTGGTGGCTTGCAATAAGACAGGTTGACGCACAGCTGGGAGGGCAAACAGATGCTGACCTTCACAGAAAATAATGTTCCATGCCTAGGAACTCTGACCTAAAAATGAATCAGATTCAGAATAAGGTTCACGACAAAGATAATTATCAGTCATTTAGCAAAAACTTGAGAGCACCTAACAGCCCAGTAATTGTGACATGGTTAAATTCTGAGTGCTATGCCATAATTTAATGGCAATGCTACCTGAGAATTGTTAGTGATATGAAAGATGCTATTTAAATGAAAAAGAAAGCAAGATATAACACTTCCAAATATTTGTTCCCAAGTATGTAAGTTATTTATTTGTTGAACTACAAGTAACACAGTAAAGCAAAAGCTATCACTTGCTGGTGGGATGAGTATTTTTATGTTCATTTTCTAAATGAATCATTACCTCTACAGACATTACATTTGAACCTGGAAAATAGCAAATAAATAATTAATTAATTTCCTAAGATCCAGCAGGAAAATGAAGCAGAGGACCCAGCCCATAAATTTGTTGGAGGAATCAACAGATCTTGAAGACTGCCAGGAAGAGAGAAATAATAAAGTCTAAGGTAATTTCAAGGTCCCTAGCTTAGAAGGGATACATAACAAACAGGTTTGGGAAGAAATGAATTTCATTTTGGACTTAAAGTGTTTGAAGAATCTGTGAAGTCCAGTACAGATGTATAGAGAGCTCCTTCAAGCTCAGAAAAGGAAGTTGGGGCTCTAGAATTTAAAATCTGGGGATCTTTGCCATAGAAATGGGAGTAAAGATGCTTACTGTTCCTCCTCACCCATGAGGCATCTTCCTTGAGGAGATCAAAGAAAATTCTGCTAGATTAAAAATTCAGTGTAATTTTTTGTGCTTTTGAAGACTGCTCTTAAAAGGGTAGGGTAGTGCCTAGACATATGAAATATCACATTGTAAATTTGTGTTTTACTTTTGGAGTAGGGGGTAAATGCATAGCACTGCCAGAACATTCCAACATTGCTCAGCTGCTTGGAAGACATGAGACCACTTAGTTAACCTCCTATTCCTTCAATTTTCTTTAAAACGATTTTCTCCTTCTTCTGCCCAATAATTTCTCATCTCATGAATCACTGCAACTGCTTCTGCTCTAGCATGCTTACACTAATCCTCTGCCTCTCAAATCCTTATTGGATGCTTACCTGAGGACGTGGATGTCCCCAGCACCCTCAGAAAAATAAAACCTACAGCCCAGTTGGGGAAATAAGACAAGCACACTATGAAGTTAAATAATAAAACGATTTCAATTACAGTTTACCTGTCTACCTACTCTATTGCTACCCCTTTGTAAAGTCCAGGTATTGGGAGGGTGTGCCCACACTTGCCAGTGGGCCTTGGGTCCTTTCGTTCATGACAAAACCCAGAAAAGTCCTCATTAATAGCTGCCCTGGAGGCACTGAAAATCTGTTGCATGATAACATGTTCTCTCTTCCTTTTGCTTATTACAGTGTCTAACTTTACCAGATCAATCATACTGTTTTCCTTGTGAGTTACTTTTAATTAAAACAAAAAATTTCCTCATTGACTTTTTTTTTCCTGCAGGAGCTAGTGAGAGTAAAATAAGAGTTCTGGTTTGCAAGCCTGTTGCTCAAACAAGAGTTCACAACACCAAGTCAGATGAAGGACAGCTCAGTTCTTTGTTTCCACGGGGATTGACAATGTAACTTGAGTTATGATTGGGTCTTTCCAAACCTTGGACTTTCCATCTTTAAAAAATGCACATTAACTTGTATCAGTCCCACCTCCTTAACAAGCTAATTTACCAAGGTATGCCAGACACTTTGAGCACTTCAGCAGAGGCCTTGTGAGATGCCAGTATACTGCCGTAGAGCCAGTAGTCTTTAAACGCCCTAGTGAGAGACACCTCCAATTAACTTCAGCATCATACACATGCCAAGGTAAAACCTTTCACTAGAAGCTTACGTAAATAAAATCTTCCTTTCGTGCATGATGTATTTCAGAATTAAGCAAGAGTCCTAATAAGTATTTGAAAAACATATTTAGACACCCAAAACACTGTCTTTGTCAAAAGAAATATCCATCAGTTTCATTCTATTCAAAAAGCTGTTGCCTTGCTAAAAATAAAAATTTGCAGAGAGCTAAATTCCATTATTTCTGGTATTGTTTGATAATGTATTCCACACTTTACATTTATTTAGGTTTTTTCCCTCAGTTCCTATTCTGGGGGGAAAAAGAAAGAAAAACAAAGGAATTGAAAAAGGACTAAAAGCTTCCCTTTTTTAATGAGATGCAAAGAAAGGGTATTAACTTAATTTCAAATTAGCAAATTAAAATTTATACACACCACAGTACATTATGAAATAGTTTAACTCTTCTGCCAGTTATTCTGTCTCAGAATACAAATGACCGACAAACTGAATTACAAGTGTCACCAGAACTGCTTTGGAAACATGATAATGTTGAACAAAATCACAAATACAACAGCACACGCTGTTAACTAAAACTTTTTCTATGGATCAAAAAGTATTTGAACATATTAATTGAGCATCAAGTATCAAGCAAGGAACCGCTTCCAATCTGCTGATATTTTGCTCTCTCCTTCCTGCGGGTCACCATGGCCAGGTCAACGTGGCCAGATGAGCCATCCAAACAAATCCTTCAGTCTGAGAACGCACATAACCTCAACAGAAACGGTCAAACGCGACGTCAAAACCAAAAGGGCGGCTGCCTGGTCCTTTGCTGCCTCCTAGCAGATGCCCCTTTAAGTTCTCGCCCCGTGGGCAGCCGGACTTTCAGGCTCCACGGAACGATCGCTGGGCTCCGGCACCTCTTCTTCCAACACCTGTGTCAACCAGCGGTCCGCAGTGGTCTCCTGTCTAAAGAAGCACCAAATGACCAGAGCCATGAGGGATAGGCTTAAGGGCAGCACCCTGGACCAGGGCCGCTGCCGCTCCCTTCCCAGGGAATGTTCCACCGTCCAACGATATGGGCTGGCTTTGCTGGAGGAAAACAGAATGGGGCGGTTAGGGTCGTCCTCTTCCTCGCCCTGGGCCTCAGGCTGGGCCCGAGCCCGGCAACCAGGTGGAGAATGCAGGCTTCGGGAAGCCCAGCGCACGAGCCTCAGCTCCCGGACAGCCCTGGAAGAAAGAGAGCAGTGAGCGCGGCACACGCTGGGCCCGCCCTCGGCCCCGCCGAGACCGCGCGGAGCTCACCCGGCCGCCAGCACCCTCAGGACGCGATTCATCACGACCTCTACTCTGCTCTTGGCTCTGCGGCGCGCTGATATATGCGTCACTTCCGTCGCGCGATGCCGGAAACCGGAGTCTGCTCCAAGTCTCTGCTCACGACTACTGAACGTGGGACCACCTGCGCAACGGAAGTGACGCATGTCCTCTTGGCGGCCTCTTTTGACGCAGTCCCGGCCTCGGCAAGCGGAGAGGGCATGCCGGAAAATGTAGTTCTTCACCAGTCCGAATAAGAATTAGCCTGCGGGTTCCTGGGCTGCGGCGCCGAGATGGAAGCCAGCCGGCAAAGCAGGCTGTGGTCGTCGTCTATCGACGAGCTGGACTCAGAGCGGTCTCCCCAGCGAGTCGGCCTCGCCCAAGGCTGGCGCCCTAAGCCTGCATCCCTGGCGCCGTGCTGGACACCTCCTCCCCGCAGTCTTGCTGCGGCTCAGTTTGCTCTCATGAGACTTTAAGTCACGGAAGTCATCATGTTGCCTCTATTAGCGTTCCCCAGTAGGACCGAGTTCGGTGAACGCAGAGCCTGCCCTCCGGTTCTCCCTGGCACGGAGCACCCCTGTGTCCTTGGGACCGGCGCAGGCCCACGCCCACGCCCACGGCCTGGCGCTTTCCGTTGCTCTACGCTGTGTCTACACCCAAAGCTGCTCAGGTCCCAGGGCTGGCCAGACCACTCTGCATGACAGACATTGCCACGCAGTGCTCGTCCCGCCGCAAGACCGTCATTCCTCCCCCTAAGCAGCAGGGAACACCTAGGGCTCTTAGGGGAAGACATCTTGCACTTGGATTCATCTCCCTCTCTTGCCCAGCAGAACCACGTGTGCATAGCCTAACATTCGTCCTCTTTGTGGATGAGGCTGCAGTGAGCTCCCTCCACCTTCCGGAGTCAGGCTGGGAGGGTGTCCTGGGGCTTCCTGCTCTGCCTGGTTCCCCAGTTGGCTTCATAGGAGAGCTTCCGGAGCCTTCTGCTCTCAAGGCAAACTGGTCCTGGCTCTGCTGAGCCATCCTGCCTGAAGACCACATAGGAGCGTCCAGGCATCATCACATACTCAGTAGGGATGTGTGTATGTTGGGGGTGGGGTGACTTGGTGACAAAATAAAATCACGAGGCCACCTTGTGAACAATAATGTGCTAGCCAGCTCAACATCTTTGCCCCTGGAGCACCCTTCTCCTGCATCTTCTTCCTGGCTTACACCCCCAGGAACCCTCCAGACATTAGAGCAAGGGTGGTGGGCTAGAAATGTTCTGAACTCAGCAACATCTGGGAGCCCTCCGCACTCCAAGAAGCCCAGCTCCAGATGCTTGGTGACAGCTCAGCTCCCAACCCAGGAGTTCAAAGTTGCTATGTCAACAGAGGCATCTGTGTGCCCAGATCCTCCTCACTGTGCTCTGCCCCACCATTTCCACCACAGAACCAGACCTGGAATCACTGCCAAACCAAGTCACCCACAGGGAACCCCAGGAGCACCTACTGTGGGTGGGAGCAGGGGGCGTGAAGTGGAAGGATGGGCCAGAATCACTCTGGAGGGCTTTTTGGACAGGGTGGAGATCAAAGAGCCCTGAGGTTAGGGGTGGAGCTGCTGAGTGGGTGGATACAGCCATCTGGTTGGGATGCTTTAGGGCATCAGGACACAAGCTGCCTAGGGACAGTAGAGTAGGAGCAGAGCTGGCAGGCTCTGGAGGGTTTGAGCTGGATGACTGCTTTGGATGGGTAACAGAAAGAAGACACCTTAGATGGGTGACTTAACCCCTGAGCTTCTGCTTCATCAGCTGTAAAATGTTGCACCTACTTAGCAGGCTGCTGCTGGGACTGGTTCTGTGGTTGGCATGCCACTGGTGGATCCCAGGACAGCCGTTACGATTGATAACTGGACAGCATGGAAATGTCCTTCTATCCTGAGGCAGTAGAGGTCCCTCTTACTGCCACCAGGTTCCTGTGGCACTCTGAGGCCAGGGTCTGGGAGGAGCAGCTCATGACCACAACAAAGAATGAGCAAACCCAGGTGTCCAGTTGACTCTTCCTCTGTACCCAGCTCCTGCTGTCACTTGGTTTCTGTTGTAGGTGAAGGCCTAATGTAAAGAACATAGATTTGTAACCCTGACTGGTGTGGCTCAGTTGGTTGGAGCATCGTCCCATAACTAAAAGGTTGCAGGTTCAATTCCCAGTCTGAGGGTGTTGGATTGACGGTCTGGGCTCATATGGGAGGCAACCAAAGTTTATCTCTCCATTCCTCTCTCTCTAAAAGCAACAAAAAAAGTGTCTTCAGGTGACGATTTAAAAAAAACAAAAGACATAGATTTTAGAGTCTGAAGAGGATGGCAGCTCCTGGCCTCCAGGAGCTACCTGGTGCTCAGAGCCAGGTCTTCCATTGGACATAAACTGTCCGAGGACATCAGCATTGGACCAGGCCTCTCCATGACTGTGATGGCTCCAGATGAAACACAACACCTATGTAATCACATCTGAATACAAACACGACAGCCCAAACATCAAAAAAGACCAAATGCATCTGTCCTGGCTAAAGAAGGAATAGCCTTCCTTCACCAGCCATGTGGAAGCCTTGCCTTTTCTGCCTTCCTTCTGATGTTTTAAGATGCTGTACTGGGCTGAATAGTGTTCTCCCCATCCCCTGCAAATTCACATCCACCCAGAACCTCAGCACGTGACCTTGTTTGGCTATAAGGTCTTTGCAGGTATAATTTGTTAAAATGAGATCATACTGGATAGGGTGGGCCCTAAACCAAATGGCTGGTATACTTACAAGAAGAGGAGAAAAAACACTGAGGCAAACAGGAGGGGAGGCCATGTGAAGAGGCAGAGGTTGCAGTGATGCGGCCACAAGCCAAGGAATGCCAAGGATGGCCAGCAACCCCAGAAGCTCAGAGAAAGATCTGAAAGAGACACTCCCTGGGGACTTCAGCTGGAGCGTACTCCTGTCCATACTGTGGTTTGGGGTCTCTGCCCATCAGAACTGTAAGAAAACAGTTTTCTGTTGTTTTAAATCACCCAGTTTGTGGTCCTTAGGGCAGTCCCAGGAGACTGAGACAGGCACCCACTCACAGGGTCACCCTGCTTCCTGACAGTGTGCAACCCAGAGCAAGGCCATTCACCCAACACTGGCCTGAATGCACAGCCCTTTCTAACACCCTCCTACTGAGACATCCATGTCCCCATGCACATTCTCCCTGGCTGCAAGGAGAACAAACCCACCTTGTTTAACCACAGGTGTGTTCCAGGCGGCTTAGGCTGGAGGGCAGTGACAGTCCCAGCTATTACAGGATACTTAACCCTTCAGTGCACTGGAGCCCAAAGTGGGCAAAGCCACAACCAGATGCATCGGGGGAGGGGCTCTCCCCTCCCTGACCCAGGCCTAGCTGAGCACTGGGTGACAGGTGCCTGATCCTGCCAATTCTGCCTGCTCTTAAGTCCCCCTCCCTGCTCCCAAGAACATAAACTAACACCTCAGCTTTCGTTATCTCAAAGCACACAGAGAAACCTCACACGAGGTCTAAGGTCCCACTAATGGGCAGGAAGGCTGCAGCCCTCGTGTGCCCAGAGCAGGGAGTGATTCACTGTAGCGCCACTGGAGAGCTGACATATTGGAGCTATTGATTTTCCGTGGGAAGATCAATATGGGGTGCATGGGGACAGGCAGGTTCACCACCTTTGGAAGGGCAGAGCCTTACTCCCAGGGAACTGAGGTCTGACAGCAGGTGGGGGCTGATGGGGACAGAATGGACACAGAGCTCCAAAAGGGCCAACACTGCCCAAAACAGGAGGCTGGCTCGGAACAGATGCTGGGACATATGCTTGGCACCCGCTCGAGTGCCTGAGTTCCTGTCCCCCAGCCCCACCCTAGGAGCTGAGCAGGCAGCAGGGGACTTGGGGCCCCTATGCCGCTGGCCTGGCCAGCCACCCAACATGGGCTGGACATGTGTGGGAAACTGTATCTCTCTGTCAATCTGAGGTCCACTCAGGGTGCTGTACCGCAACCCAGCCTCGCCAGTAACAAAAGCCAGAGTTCACGATGGCCCCACCAGACTCCTGGGTCCATTGTGAACATGGCTCAAGGCCAAGAAAGGGGATAATTCAGTGACACCCTAGTAAGATCCAAGATCTGCTTTCTAAATCCTTCTCACACCTGTCCACTATTCTTAAACCCCCAGACTGTGCCCCGTTAGGCTCCGTCACTGATTTCTGGGACTGGGACAGTAGCGCCTCCCCACCCCAGTCCCGTCTCTGGCCTTAGGCCTCTCGTGTCCAGATGCCCGCCCCACATGCGCTGGCCAGGTTCCTCTTCCCAAACAGCTGTGAGTTTCCTTTTGCTGCTGAAACAAAGGAGCACAAGCTGGGTGGTTTAAAACAATACTTATTTGTTACTGTACCGTCAAAAATGGGTTTCCCTGGCTGAAAATCAAGCTGTCTCCAGGGCTGCGCTCCAGGGGCTGCAGGGGAGAATCGCTTCCTTTTGCTTTCCAGATTCTAGAGGCCACTCCATTCCTTGACTCATGGCCACCTTCCACCATCAAAGCCAACAGTGAACCTGCTTCTGTTGTCACATCTCCTCCTCTTGCTCTGACCCTCCTGCCTTCCTTTTATGGGGACCCAGTATCATCTCTCATTCAAGGTCTTTACCTCAGTCACCTCCGCAGGGTCTCTTTGTCATGTGAGATGACATATCTGAAGTTCCTGGGGATTAGGGCCTGGACATCTTCGGGGCCATCATTCAGTCGACCATAGGGGCACCAGCTCTTTGAGGTCTGGGGCTTTTCCAGGCTGCCCCCTCTGCAGGAACACCTTCACTTCCCACAGTCTGGCCAGGTGAGCTCCTGCTCCCAACGGCGTCCCGCAATGACCTGCGCTGGTCACGTGGACTGGGACCTTCTCGAGGGCAGGATTGCGTCTCGTCCTCCTCAGTCCACCTGCCCCCAGCGCCCAGCCCATGCCTGGCACAGAAGGGGGCTGGAGGCCAGAGGAGGCTCTGGTCTTTCCCGACCAGCAGCAGGGGGCGTTGTGGCTACAGCCCAAGCAGCTGCTGGGGTACGGCCCTAGGGAAGGGATTTTCAACCTTTTTCACCTCATGGCACGCATAAACTAAACTACTAAAGTTCTTTGGCGCACCAAAAAATATATTTTTCCCAATCTGACAAAAAATATTTTTTTTCAGAAAAAATATAATTTTGATTTATTCATATCAGAGAGCTATTGTTGGGTTGGCTGTTGTTATTTTTTTATTTGACAACTTAAGGGAGAAGTCAGTGCGCCTGACTCAATAGTCAGGTACTGCATGTTTTAAAAATTCTTGTGGCACACTGGTTGAAAATCACTGCCCCGGAGTCCAGGGCATGTAAGGGCAGGGAGCTCCCTAGGCCAGCAGAGGGCAGGAGCAGCAGTGGCTAGGGCGAGGGCGAGGGCGAGGGCTAGGGCCTGGGCGGAGAGGCAGTGTAGAGGCCCCAGCAGCCCGGAAGCCACCTGGGACCCCAGCCCAGACCTCCTGAAGATCATGGCTGACAGCTGGGTTGTGCTGAGTCAGAGGGAGTCAGCCATGGCTGGGGCAGGGCCACCCCACAGGCAGGACCTGGACAACTGTCATCGGACCAGAGTCTCGGAGCAGAACTGTAGCTATGCCTGAGGTCAGTCTTTGGGGGACTCAGGTCTAAACATGGACTGGACCCGTGGGACTGATCCTAGCCAGACACCCTTCACCTGGGGCATGGCCTCACCGCAGGGCATGCTGAAGGGTCCATAATGACCAGTTGTATCCATAGGCCTTACAGAGACCTGGCCTCTCATATACCCTTCCTCTCTTCCTGCAGCCTTTTCCTGGGGCCTGCGGTGGCCCTGTCCCACTGCCCTCTCCCTGGTCCTGCCCCAGGCAGACAACCTCGGCACCTTCGAAGACCCACTCATGGCAGGTCACCAGCTTGGCCCAGGCAGATCCTGTTCTTGCGGTGGCACCGAGCATCTGCGTGTGGCCCTCCAGGTGCCTGAGAAATGATTGGCAGCAATCATCACGGCAGACTTGCCCAGCGGCCCCCATTTGCAGGAAAGGCCTGGGTGTCATTGGGTAGGAGAGGCATCACCCCCTCTTGAAGGGGGTGGAGGCTGGAGCTGAAGGGCAAGGACCCAGGGAGGGGTGGAGTGGCACCTGTGACCCTCCCAGTCCAATGGATGGGTGACCCCTGCATTTTGAAGGGGCCCATGAATAACCATCAGACCCAGGGGTTGGACACATGCCAAGCTGGGAGGGGGCTTCTGTCCTGTCCTCAGAACCTGGACCACAAGCAGTGGCTGCTCTGGGAGCCACAGCAGGTGGGACTCTGGGGTCCTCCCAGACGGCACCACAGGGGCTGATCCAGGGGAGCAAAGCACCCAGCAGTGGCCACAATGAGATGGGGGCCATGGTCACATATGGAGGGTGCTTACTGGGCTGAACAGTGAACCCAAAACTCGAATCCACCTTGACATCCGATTGGGATGTTATGGGGATAGCGAATCTTTGCACACGTGATCAAGTTAAGAGGAGCCGAGGCTGGAGTAGGCGGACCCTGATCCAGTGACGGTGTGCTTGTAAGAAGAGGAAGACGTGGACATAGTCACTGACGGGGACAGCCAAGTGACCCCGGAGGCAAAGGTTGGCTACAAGCCAAGGGACCCCATGGATTGCTGACCAGTGACACCGCACCGCAGGAGAGAGACACGGGACTGATTCCCCGCAAGAGCCTCTGGAAGGAATCAGCCCCGAAGACCCTGGATTTTTTACTTCTGGCCTCCAGACTGTGGGAGAACCCCTCTCCATTGTTTTCAGCCACCCTGTTTGTGGTGAATGGTTATGGTAGCCTCAGGACACTTGTGCAGCACCAGAGGGCAAAGGGGCTGGGCCACCTGGGAGGATGGGAGGTTAGCAGGGGGCAGAGGCTCTGGGGTCTTGCCTGTGGTTGTAATGCATTGGGGAGGTGCAGCAGGTTCCACAAGGCTGGCGGGGGCTACCAGACCCCACAAAGAAAGGTGTGGAAGCCAAAAAAGGAACCAGAGAAGGGAGGTGCCACCTTAACCTAGACCCTGGGGACAAAGCCCTGGGGAGGGAGCAGGAGTTCAACCGCAGCTCTGGGACGTGTGAGGTGGCAGGAGAGGGCTGAGCAGGAGTGCCAGAGGCCCCGCCTGCCTGAGCCCTCCCTCCACCTGGGCTCTGGCCGGTGGTCCCCAGGCTTCCTCCCTTGACCTCCTCAGGTGCTGCCGCTGGCCAGGAGCCGCATTCACCCAGAGCGCTGTGCAAGCAGGGTGTCCTCTAGAGAAGGCTACTCCAGAAGTCAAAATAGCATGAAATTTAATTTTCCGCCTATTTGACAAGGCTTGGTTGGGGCCCCAATCAGCAGTGGAGATAAGGGTCCTCGGCCGGGTGTGAGCCAGCTGGGCGTGCAGCAAACACTCTACTGTCCCCAGGCAAGCCCAGGCTCCCCCTTGCTGGGCCCTGGTTGCTGGGCGCTAAAGCAAACGGATTCTATTTGCCCAGTCTGCGATGACAATGCAGTCCCCAAATATTTGCCAGCCTGGCCGGCAGCACAGCTCGGCTATAAATGCTTGAGCCCAGGTGGAGGTGGCCTGCCCAGCAGAGCTGCAGGTTTCACAGGTAAGAGCAGGGCTGGGCAGCAAGTGGGGAGGGTCCTGGCTATGGGGTCTGGCCTCCTCTCCCTCCCAGGAAGGCTGTGGGCCCTTCTGCCCAGGTGGTCTTTGTGGACCACCCACACACAGGGATGGGTCACCAGCAGGGCTGGGCAGGAGCAGGCCATTTTGGCCTGCATCAGAGAAAGCATGGGCTGGGGGAAGGAGGGTACCACCCCACAGCTGGGACCACTCGATGCCCCTGCAGGGAAGATGGGCCTGTAAACAAGATTGGGAGCACAGCACGGTCAGCGGCCTACCTGGAGGAGAGGGGGCCCGTGCTCCCCGGGTCCACCTGACTCTCGGTGATGCCTGTGGACTCACCCAGCCCCCCGGAAGGTGTTTCCTGACAAGCTAGGAGACCCCTCTCCTTCTCTCCAAATCACCTTCCCTCCCTCGCTTCCTTTCTTCCCTCCTTCCTTTCTTCCTTCTTCCCCAGGCTCACTCACCTGCCTCCCTGTCCCAGAGGGGCATGCCTGATACATCCTTTGGTGGGGGGAGGCTTTGGCATGAGAACAAGCGCCCCCCCGTGCCCCCCACTTGGCTGCAGGCCAAGACAAGAGCCAGAGGCACCCCTCACAGTCCCTCCCCAAATCCCCTCCCTGTGGTCCCAAGCCCCAGCCAAGCGAAGGCCCATAGGCGTTTTTGTCTCCCGCTGACCCTGCCAAATCCTGGGGCATTGTCTCATTCACCCCTTGCTCCCCTAACAGAGAACAAATGAAAGCCTGGGAATGTGACTGCACTTATTAGAATGAGACAGGACTGGAGAAATGGGGGATGGGAGAAATGGCACTGGTTCCCAAGCCCCGCAAAGCTGCGAGCGCTCTGGGTCCCGAGACAGTCAGTTCCAGGGCTCAGTGTGGGCATCGCAGGACTCAACAAGGCTGTTTATCAAGAGCCAGAGCAACCCCACACGGGGACAAGGGCTCTGCTCTTCAAGGCCCCAAACCCACTCCCACCTCAGCCCCTGGGCAGCTGCCTTCCCACCTCCCCTACTTCTCTCTTCTGTGACTTCTCCCCACTGCCAGTTGGCTATTCTGGTAGCACCACGCTGTCACCCACCCTCATTCCCTCTGACTACCCTTCAGGGTGCACTGCTCATAGGGCCCGGGCCCATCCGGCAGGCCACTTCAAACCCCGCGGCCTACACTCTGCAGGCTCTCCCCACCCAACTCAGGCCATGCCCACGGCCACGGGGCCCCCCGCCCCATCTCTTCCAAATCTCACCCATTTCTGAGCTCAGCTCCCTCCCCAAGAACAAGCGGCCCTAGTGCCCAGTTCCCCCAGGAGGGCTGCGGGCCCTGACCGACAACCTGTCCCCTCTCTACCTCGCTCCCCAGGGGGTGCCTGCTGCCCCAGAGGCCCCAGAAGCTCCAACGTGGAGGACATGGCCACAGGTGTGATCCGACCTCTCTGTGACTTCCAGCTTCCCCGGCCATCCCTTCAGCCCTTCCTGCCCCTAGACCCAGAGCCCCCAGACACTTCTGAGGAGGAGGAGGAAGAGGAGGAGGTGGGGGAGGAAGAAGAAGAGGATCTGGAGGGTGAGGGGCCAGGGGCCCACAGCCCAGCTCCCCAGAGCTCAGGTTGGGCCGCAGTTGTCCCCGAAGCGGCCCCTCCAGGTCCGAGCAGTGCCGAGATGCCACTGCAGCTGCTGCGGTTCTCTGAGCTCATCAGCGGTGACATCCAGAGGTACTTTGGCCGCAAGGACAGGGGGCAGGACCCAGAAGCCTGCGACATCTATGCCGACGGCCACCCGGCCAGCAGCTCAGCCAGGGAGCTCTACTGCACAGACCTGGCACATCTGGCCCAGGGTGGGTTCTCTGATGATGAAAAGGCCACCGAGCCTGGGGTCCACTCTCCCAGGGCTCCCCAGGGGCAGGTGCATGAGACAGGCCTTGGTGGGGACAGGGTGCAGCCACTGGGGCCACTGGCTGAGTTGTTCGACTATGGGCTGCGGCAGTTCTCAGGGCCCAGGGGGTCGACTGGCCACCGGCTGAGGCTAGAGCAGAAGTACGGCCACATCACCCCCATGACCCAGAGAAAGCTGCCCCCTTCCTTCTGGAAGGAGCCGGCGCCTAGCCCCCTGGGCCTGCTGCACCCTGGTACGCCCGACTTCAGTGACCTGCTGGCTAGCTGGTCAGTGGAGGCTGGCCCAGAGCTGCCAGGCAGGGGTGCCCAGACCCTGGAGGGGATGCAGCTGGCTGAGGCCTAGTGAGCAGCCAGGCCTGGCAGCGGTGAGCTGGGGCAGCAGCGGTCTGGAATCTCATTATGGCTGTCCTGCTGGGAGGGGCTCTGGGGCCCTCCGAGGTGGGCAGCCACCAGAAGGACAAAGCAGCCTAGGTGGGGACTTTCCAGGCCTGGGAAGAGGGGCAGGGCTCCTCCTGGGACCTGGAGCTGCCACCACCAGAGGCCAGCAGGGCAGGAATGTGCAGGGGCTAAAGTCCCCAGCACCTGACCCGGCGACCCTGGCCTCAGCCCTTGGAGCTCTGCCCACAGGAAAGGATGACAGGGCCGGCAGAAGCTGTGGCCACTTGGAGACTATGGGCTCAAGGGGCGTACACACTGTGCCTATCCAGACCAGCCCCCGAGATTCTCAAGGGCAACCCTCCCACTGCCTGCCCGCTGGCTAGTCCCAGGTGGCCTCTCCTGAAGCAGGTGGCAGGGCCAGCGACCCAGATGAGCAAGGGTTGTCTTGGAGAGACAGGAGGAGGCGGCGCAGCTGAGTGCATGAGCAAACATACTGTTTGGCCCCCAGATTAGGACAGGAAGAGATGCTTCTCTGTTGGGCACCTTGCAGGTTTGAAGAGCATGGCTGACAGGTAGAGATCCTGAGGCTGGGCCGGCCTGGCTGCTGGGGAACCCAGCTCAGGGTGGGGGTGGCTTCCAGGCCGCTGGGCCTATTGGCAAGAAGGCCCAGGAAAATGGTTGGGCCTGGGGCTCAGCAGGGCTTGTGCAAGAGAAGGACATTCTGGGAGTGTGGGGATGGACAGGCTTTGAGGATGGATCCTCTTGGTCACTCCAGCTGCCTGGTCCTTCTTGACTCCTGGAGGGAATTCCAGGCTCTGATAGATACAGGTACTGGCATGTTTATTTCCGGGAAAGGGGCAAGGATGTGAGCTGGTGGGCAGGCTCCTGGCCAAGGGACCTCTCCGAGACTGTTCTTGGCCTCCGCTGGGCCACCAGGTTCATGAGGACCGCCTTCCACTGCAGCCACCTGCCCGGAAACATGGCTTAAGGCCCACTGCCCTTGGGGCCTCCCCCAGCCTTGAACCCAGACCTGGAGGGGCCTCTAGAAGACAGCTCCTCACTTCTCACCTCACAGCCTGATACACACCCCAGCGGTTCATGGGGACCACCTCTCCAGAGGCCACATCCTTGATGAACTGCTGTCTCACCAGGGACATGAAGACCTTCTTGCTGCCCAGCGTTGGGGCCCACGGGCCCTCTTCACTCCACAGGCGCATCAGGCACTCCCTCAGCATGGCCATCTCCTCCGTGCGCTGAGGACAGACACAGGGGCGGCATGGGGGAGGAAGGGCTGTGGGAATGCAGGGATGGGAGCAAGGGGGTGGGACGGCACACAGGATTATCTTCTGGGAAAACCAGGGCCTTATCTGCCCGGAAATGCTGCTCAGGCCAGACGTGCGGACAGACAGATGGTGGAGGAGACCAAAGACAGAGTGGTGGGCAGGCTGGGAGGGGTGAAGGGGAAGTGGGAGCCAGGCTCTGCACAGAGAAAGCAGCCCACCCTCCCGGCCTGGGAGCCCCTGGAGCTGCAGGGGGAGGGCCTGTTCCGCCAGGGCTGAGCCGCCTCTCACCAGCTTGGTTTCTGAATTAAACTTGAGATTCTGGATGGTCTTGTTGTCCTGGATGCTGTTTTCCAATTTCATTATTTGGTTCTGAAACTAAATACTGCCCCCCATTCGTGGACATGGAAGCAGCCCCCGCTCCAATCTCACAGAGCAGGAACTGACCTCTGACATGTGGGTCGTCACCCCTTGCTGGGACGTGGGGACAGCACTCAGCCCAGCGATCAGGCAGGACCCAGCCAGTGCTCAGGGCCGCTACTTTCACCGCGATTGCTGATGCCCCCAGTGCTGGAACTTCCAAAGGCTAAGACATGGGCAGTATCCTAGCAAGATGTCTGTGAACCTCCCTGGGAAGCCCTCCACAGGGGGCTGCCCCCTGTCTGAGCCAGATGACCTCCCCTCCTTCTGAGCGGGGCAGGCCTGGGGCCCAGGAGGGTACCGTGGCCAGCTTGCCCTGGATCTCCGCAATCTTCCGCCCAGGGCTGCCCTCCCTGAGCTGCTGCACAGATGCCAGCAGAGCAGCCAGCTCCTGCCGCAAGGCTCCAACCTCGAACTCTCTGTGGGAACAGGGGGCTGAGGCTGCCAGGCTCTGAGGAGAGTCCTGAGGTGAGGGGCAGGGTAGGTGGAAGGGGGAGGTTCTGGGGAGAATAAGGGGCACTCTGCTTTGCCACTCCTCCAGTGGGGGCTGGGGTCACCAATGGGTGAGAGAGGGAAAGACCTGGGGATCTGTGCAGGCTGCCCCCAAGGGCACCAAGCCAGGGCTTGGGAGGGTCTAGGGCTGCCACAGGTGCCGGCAGCTCACAGGGGAGCACCTGAGAGAAGCCCTGTTGGTGCAGCGAGGTGGTTCTGAGTCAGCTGTGCCCTCCCAGCCCACTCCCTGATGGTCAGCGCAGTGGAGCTCATTCCCCTTCCCAAGGGCCCCAGTCCTACCAGGCTTCTGCCAGGAGCTCAGCCTTACCTGGCTTTGCCCTCGGCAGAAATTTTGAGGTCTGAGTCGCTCTTGTGTAGGATACACCTGTCAGAGACTGCTTCTATCTGAAACGGAGCAGAGGTGGGAACGGGCTGGTGGCTAAGGGTGGGCCCAGTGGGGGGTGGGAGGGGAGGTGCGACCCTGGCCCTCACCCACCTGCCAGGGCAGGCTGTCCACTGTCTCCCGCACCTCCCTCAGGTACGCTTGGGCCTCCTTTCGACACTGGGCCAGGCCCTCCAGCGATCTCCGCTCTGCGCCTTCCCACTCACTCTTTGCCTAGGACACGGACACCCAGTGAGGTCAGAGCCTGGACAGGGAGGGTGGACAGACGGCCTGGGCACACCTGACTCCGAGCACATGCTCGCAGACCGCACACAGCCCAGAGAGCCCAGCTCGGCACACTGCAGGCCTAGCTCAGCCCCTTCCCCTCTCCAGCCCCAGCTTCCCACTGGGAGTCAGTAGGGACAGGGACAGAGAAAAGACAACCTGCGCACACCTGCAGGAAAGGAGACTCAGAGCAGGCCTGGGGGATCCTGCCCCACAACCAAAGGGTGCACATGCGTGTTCACATCCATATTGTTAAAAAAGGGCAGCAGCCCAGTGTCCATCGGCTGTCAAACGTAAACAAGTTGTGGTCCATCACATAGTGGAATAGTACTCAGCCATGAAAAGGGAAAAGGCGCCCACATGTGCTACAGCTCCAATGTACTTAAAGCAGTCATGCTCTGTGAGAGAAGCCAGGCACAGGAGGTCACAGAGTGTGATTCTATTTCTATAAAGTGTCCAAAACAGGCAAATCCATGGAGACTAAAAGCAGATAGTGGCTGCCAGGGGCTGGGGGAAGCGGAAGGGGAGTGAATGCTAATGAGGACAGAGTCTCCTTCTGGGGTGATGAAGACCTTCTAAAGTGATTGTTGTGGTGATTGTAGAACTCTGAATATATGCAAAAAATCCCACTGAATTATACATCGTAAAAGGGTGAATTGTATAGTGTGTGAATTAAACTTCAATAAAGATGTTACAAAAAAGAAAAAAAAACCTAAGCGACAGAGGTTGCCTTGCTGGTTCCACTGTGGAGCCCCCATGTGGTCAGGTCTCTGGGGGCTCTGAATGTCTCAGCAGCCAACCCTGAGCTGCCCCACTCTGGGCAGGAGGTCTCCCAGGCACAGGGCCACCGTAGGCCTTGCAAGCAATCACTGGGTACAATTGCGACCTGCTGGTCAGGCCTCCACCCTTTTGAAGACAGAGGGGACCCAGGACCCGACCCCACCATCTAGGCTGCCTTTCCCCCAGGTAGCACTTTGGCCTTACCTCACACAGCCTCTGGGTCAGTGTCTGTTCCTGCAGGTCCAGCCTCCAGCTCAGGGCCAAGAAGTGGTCACTCAGGTCCTTCACCTGTCTGACCAGCTCAGCCACGGACCCCTCCAGGGCCTGGCTCTTCTCTTGGAGCTGTGGGAGGTCAGGCTGAGTGGGGGTGCCTGTGTAAGTGGGGGAATCCTGGACCAGCCCCTGCTGCCCTCACCAGCTCCACTGTGTTGCGCATCTCGTGCCGGGCCAGCTCGCTGGCCAGCCGCATGGCCTCCAGGTTTTCCTGCAGGTAGGCCGCCAGCTCTCCAGCCTGGCTTTCCTCCAAGCAGCCCTTGGTGTCCCTGCGGGTTGGTGCCACTGAGACAGATTGTCCCTCAGCTGAGGCTGGCCTGCCCCTCAGAGCTGGGCCAGGGAGGGGAGCCTGGCTGCTGGCTCCAGAACCTTCCAAGAGGCCCAGTGCAGCAGCCAATGGGAGTGTCGTCACGGGCCACCAAATGGGGCTGTGCCCACCGCTGCCACGCTGAGTCTCCCCGTGAGACGCAGGCTGGGGATGGCCAGCTACTCTGCCCCAGTGGCCCCACTGGGCCTGGCACTGGGCTCAGGATGCTAGGATCTGGGGAGAGGGGCCATTTCTGTCCACCCAGCTTGACAGGTTCCATTCTCTGCCCCCTGCCCCATTTGGATACCCACCGGGCCTTCTGTTCGGCCAGCAGGACGCGGTTCAGCGACACCTGGTTCTGGCGCACGAACTTGGTGAGCTGGACTACAGCCCTGTCCAGGCCCCGACACTGCTCCAGGATGTAGCACTCTTCCTGCTGTGGTGCAGAGGTGGCCCTGAGACCCATGTCACCCCCAACCAGGCACCCGGCTTGTGCCCTAGCTGCCCACCTTGCACTGTCCCCGCAGGGCTCGCATGCGCTCCTCAGCCAGCTCCTGGAGACTTTGCCACCTGCTTTCAAGCTCCACCCGCAGGCTGCTCTCCAGCTTCAGCCGTGTGCTCTCTGAGGCCTTCATTCTCTGCGAGAGACCCCATCCATTGCTGTGAGCCAGGTGAGTAGGGGACACAGCAGAGCCCCACCAGCCTGCAAACTCCCACCTTCTCTAGGGCCAGGAAGCTCTTCTGCAGGAAGCCACAGAGCTTAGCCTCCCTCTTGAGGAAGCGAAGGCTCATCTCCTCACCCAGCTTGGTCACCTGGGCCTGTGGAGGCAGGGGGCACATGGGTACTGTGCTGCCACTGTGCTAGGTGCCCTCCTCCCACAGCCATCCCCCACCGCCATGCCGCCTTGGACTGTTTTCTTGCCTAACCATCTCCATCAGAGGGGGCTCTGGGTCCTGTGTCCCTGGCTGTCCCCAAGCCTAGCAGAGCTGGGCCTGCCACACCCTCCTTAGGAAGAAAGGAAAGGCAGGCAGGGGACACATGTCTAGGCAAAAGGGTTGTGAAGGGTCTGCAGGCCAAGCTCATGTAGGTCTGGCACACACTCGGTGCCCACAGTAGTGACCATCAGATGCCATTCAGGGAAGAAGGCATAGTAGCTACTACCAAACCACACCCAGAGCTGGGAGCCTTGGGAAGGGAGCTTGAGTGCATGTGTGAGCAAATGCACACATACACACACAGATCGGTATACTCATGCACACAAGGGCACACATGAACTTAGTGTACCCATGCACATATGAACACAATACACCCATGCAAGTGTGCACACACACACACTTTGCCCAGGTAGGGGCCCTTTCCATCTTTCTCTCCTCCCTGTCAGCTCCCTTCCTGCTGCACCAAGGGTCTGAGGGCACAGGGGACAGGGGAGTCAAGGCCCAGGCTGGCCCTGTCTCCCTACAGGGCTCCCACAGGGCAGGCAGGGCTCTGGCAGGAGGCACCTTCTCCAGGGCCACGGAGCCCACTGGGGAGCTCCCACAGCCCACAGGGCAGGTGAGCACCGGCCCTTGCCAGCCTCCCTACCCCGGGCAGGATGACATGGAGGAGAGCTGGGCAAATGATCTGTAAAGAGTGAGAGAGTAGATGTTTCAGGTTTATGGGCCACGGGGTCTATGTCACAGCTCCTCAGTTCTGTAGTCCCAGTGCAAAAGTGGCTGTGGACAATAGTAAACGAATGAGAATGTATGGGCTGTGTGCCGATAAAACTTTATTTACAAAACCAGGTGGCTGGCCATAGCTTGTATGCCCCAGCCCTAGATTGGGCTTAGAGAAGAGGCAGGCATCCCACCAGGTGACTGGCATAGCAGGATTCCCTGGAGCTCCTGGTTGGTGGGCAGTTAGCAGTCTCTTGAGGGAACCAAGACACTAACTTCCCAAAGGGCAGTGGGAGGGGAACACTATAGGAGCTGAGCAGCTGAGCTATGCAGGCGGCAGCTGGGGCCTCCCTGGTGTGCAGCGCAGTCCCTGGTCTCTATTTGCAGAGCAGAAGAGACTGCCCCATCCCCTGCCCCACCTCCTAAGGGGCCCCATGCAGAAGGGGAAACTGCATCAGCCCTGAAGTACAAGCACTGGGAGATACATCTTCAGAAATGTAACTTCCACTTTGCATGAATGAAGCACCAAGGTTGAAAATGGCGAAGAAAGGGGCTTTGGGCTACAATGTTCTATTTCTAGATTTGGGTGCTGGTTACACAGAAAGGGAGGAGGAGGAGCAGTGGCTGAGCTAGTGCCAACAACAAAACTTTCTGTGATGAGGAAGGTGCTCCATCTTGGTGCAGCCCCAATCGGCAGCCACTGGCCCACAGAAGGCCACTGAGCATTTGAAATTTGGTTCATGTGATGGAGGAATCGAGTTTTAAATTGTCTAAAATGTCAGCTAATTTCAATATACAGAGTCACCTGTGACTAGTGGCCACTGTATTAGACAGCACAGGACTTGGGGATCACCCCCCAAGTCTGATCATGTGGTGGGAACTAAAAAGGTTGCTAGAGTGAGGAAAGAACCTGTAAGGAGAAGGACATAAGTTGGGCTGGGAGCACGGGGGTTTCCTTCTAGATGGACCCTGTCACCCAGCACCCTGCCTGGGTACCTGCAGCCTGGCCACCTCATGGTCCATCCTCTGGCTGGCCTCCTCCTGGCTCCTCTGCAAGGCACTGCAGGCCATCTCCCGGTTCTGCTCCTCCTGCTCCAGCTTCCCAGCCAAGCTGGCCAACCTGGGGGCACCAGCCAAAGGTCACAGCAGCCCGGCCAGCCAGAGAACCTGGCTGGGGAGCCTCAGGGAGGCTGGTAGGGCCCTTGAACTTTACGAATCCTTCTCAGGCAAAGGCCTGCATCTGAGAGGGGGGTGGGGGGCTAGGCTCGCCTACAGGTTCTAGGAGCAGGAAGTGCCTAACCTGCTTGAGTAAACAGAGAGAGGGGGCAAGATGCTGGCTTCCCTGTCCCCACCTGGGATGGTGCAAGCTGGGCCCTGGTAAGCATGACCTACGGGAAAGGGGCAGGGTTGGGAACCCTCAAGTCTCTTTTTCCCGCAGAGGGTCTACAGGGTGTCTGAGGCTCCCTGTCAATCAGTAGCTTGGCACCTGGGGAGGGCGGGTAAGCGAACACCAGCCTTGCCTTGATGACTCCTACACAACCACACACAGCAGATCCAGAGCCAGGCCCTGGGGAGGGAGGGGGAGGTGCTCACCTGAGGTTGGCCTCCTGCTCAGTGCCCTTCCGCTCAGAGTCCTGGAGTGCCTGCTTCCTCCTGATCTGGGTCAGAGCCTCCCGGACCTCCACCAGCCTGGCACACAAGAGCCGCTTCTGCCTGGGGCCTGCCAAGCCAACCCCCCTGGTGGCCAGGAGAAGCCCAGAGCAGGCCAGAAGCCTGGCCGAGAGCCCCTGAAGTAAGCTTCCCACCCCTTTCCCAGACCTCTGTAGGCTGCTGAGGCTCCCACAGACCCAGATCTTTTGAATTCTGCCATGGGCATGTATTGCTTACCTGAGTTAAGACAACTAACTGGGGAAACAAAACCCCGTGATGCCCTGATGACGCCAACACCAGCCACTGCTCTCCCAAAACCCACTTCCCTCTTGCTAAGGCCTGTGTCACAAATATGGGGATACCTTTTGTCCAGGGCCTGCATCTTGTTCTGGTTCTGGGGGCTGGGGAACTGCAAGGAGGAGGGTGTGGGCTGAGTGTAGGCCTTGGGCTCTCACAGCCTGACCAGCACAGACATAGCTTCTGGGGATTCTCTGGGCTCCCGGCCTGGGCAGCAGGGGTTGAGCTGAGTTCAGGGTCCAGGAAACAGCTGCCCCAACACCTGGGAATGGTGGAGCCTGGCCTGTGAGTGGGGATGAACTGCCTCCCAGCCACTGGTGGCTCACCTCCAGGGTCTCCTTCTCAGGGGCCCAAGCTGCCTGTTCTACCTCCTGCTTCAGCTTTTTCAGCTCCGAGTCTTGCAGCTGCACGCTGGCCTGCACCTGGCGCAGCTCCTGTAGCAGGCTCAGTGTGGCATGCTCACAGTGGTCCTTGTGTCCCTGTTGGGATGCCACCTCAGCTTGCAGATCTGCCACCCTGGCCAGGGAGAGAAGCAGGCCAAGTCGGCATCCATGTGTGGGGCTGATGTGTGGCTGTCTCAACCTGCTTCCCATGGAGCTCACCATTGCTTCAGCTGCTTCCAGAGCTTGGGAGTGTCCTGCTCTGGGACAGAGGTTGTGGCCGCCAGGTGGCTGGATTCATATCTCTCTGAGATCTCCTCCAGACTCAGGGGCTTGGGGCTGGCCAGCCCATCCTCCAGGAGGAGCCCCAGGTCTTCCAGGGTAATAGTGCTTAGCTGGGAGAGGGGCAAAGCCCCAGATGAATGGTTGCTATCAGCCAGTTCTACAAGAAGGCACCTTCAGGCTCACCACTTGGCCTTCTGGTTTGACAAGGGATGCCGGCTTCCTGGTGTAGCTTAGGGTAACAGGGACCCAAAATCAGTGTGACTGTCACTGAGCGTGCCTACCGAGCTCATGGGTAGCTCATTCTGCTGAGTGGCATGGCCCAGCCCAGAGAGGGCTTGGCTCTCATTATTCCACAACAGAAAACTTAGGCTCAGAGAGCTGCCAAATATACACCGGTTCAAGTGTTCCTCTGAGAACACACAACACCGGGCAGCAGAAATGGGACAATGTCCTGCCTGGCCAGCTCCAGAAGGAGCCCCCAAGCCGTGAAGTGACCTGGGGGTCAGGAAACAGAACTGTCCTATAGGTCCACACCCCTCTGCAGTCCCTTCCCTGGATGGTCTTCCTGGCTTCAGACCCAGTTGGCACCTGGCTCACCTGATCCAGCTTCACCAGCAGCCAGTCTTTTTGGCTTTGGCCACTTACAAAAGGCCCTGGGCCAAGTGCCCTATGACTGCCCAGAGGTGGAAACAAGGGCGTGGGAGGGGGGAGTGGCTGGAGGGAGACAGGGAAATCAAATCTGAAAGGCTCCAGGACCCTGGGGGAACACAGGGCAAGAAGGGGTGAGCTCCTGTCCTTACATCGCACCTCCTTCCCAGTCAATACCAAGACAGGTAGGGCAGTGAGGGCTCTTCTGGAACCTTTTCCTCTCCAGAACCTTATGACTTCCCACCCCAACTGCCAGTGGAACCTGAGTCAACTCTCCTGCTCCTGCAGGGCCTCCCCAACTGCCTGTTTCTCGACGAATCTGAGGGGGCACTATTCAGCCAGCCAGAGGTTAGATCAGGAGAGCTCTGGCCTGGGCAGGAGGGAATGCCAAGGAGCAACTGCTCCTTGTTAAGCCAGAGCAGGAAGGCTGGGATCTCAACTGAACACAGCCATGGCTGCACCTGAAAAAACAGAGGCCCTGAAGGACTATCAAAAGAACGGTGCCGCCCTGACCACTGTGGCTCAGTTGGTTGGGCACTGTCCCACAAAGCCAAAGGTCACTATCACTGATTTGATTCCCAGTCAGTGCACAAGCCTGGGCTGCGGGTTCAGTCCCTGGTTGGGGTGCATGAGGCAATCCATAGATGTTTTTCTCCCTCTCTCTAAAAATAAATAAAACCTTAAAAAAAACAAACTCAGTGACATTATCAGAAAAATGCAGTGAATTTCAATAGTCCATTTTATTTAACCCAGTTCATTTAAAATATCACCATTTCAACATATACTTAATACAAAAAAGTGAGCAAAATGCTGTACTTGTTTTCTCTGCACCAAGTCTTCAAAGGCCGGTAAAGGGTATTTTACGTCTCACTTCAGGGATGGACACTGCAGCCCCTGGCCCTACGCATGTCACCCAGACCCGCCCACTGAGGGCTGGCTCAGGACTTCTGTGACAACTTGAACACTTTGGTCAACCTCACCTCCAGCGAGAGCCACACCATACACCTCACTGCCATGCAGATCAGGGGGGAGACAGCCGGCCCAGACAGAAGGGCCTCTGGGAAGATGCGCTCCCCATCCGACACCGTGGCTCCCTCAGAAGCAACACCGCCCAGGCATTTGTACGAAGATGCAGTGGTTGCCAAGGGGGCTCCCTCCTGTGAGATGTATGAGGACCGCACACCACCTCCAGGTTTCTGGGTCTCTCATCTGTATCTACTTCTTAGGGGTGTCCACACTAGGGTGCTGCCCACCTGCACCACACTGAAGAGGGTTTCATCCCAGGTACCCCCACCCTGTGGTCCTGGAATCCCACGCTGCTAGACTGTGGCCCATGCTGAGCAGGAACAGGAAGCCAATACTGGCTGTCTGGGTACAATTCCTTTATTTCTCCCATTCAGATTCCCCACATTCAGACCCCTGCTCCTCCCCCGCCACCTGCCACAGAAAAGTCACCAAGACACGGCCTGCAATTCGAGGCCCCACTCCCTTGAAAGGGGCTAAAGCCACGGTGCAGCAACTACCAGCTTGCCACAAAAGCATCACTTAGTCAAGAGATGGGCTGGGGACTTGGCAATCACCTTTTAATGTGGTTCTATGGGACTAGTTCCACCTGGCCTGAAGTGCACAGTGTCTCTGCTCCAGGTTCACAAGCCCATCCCAAATCCCATAGCCTTATCTGTGGGCATTGGAACCAGAGCTGCTCGGGAACATTGCCGTGGGCCAGGGGTCCTCGGAGGCCCTTGTTACCCTCCCTACCATGCCCATGCTGAGAAGACCCAATTTTCTGTCCGCTGTCCGCATGGTGGTGACATGTTTATCTGAATTCCAGCTCCAGAGGACTTGGGGTGACAGAGGCATGGTAGGACTTTGAGTTCAGGCCCATGGGTGGTTCTCTGCTCTTCTTGGCCCAGACTCCATCACAGAGCCCATGGCATCCCAAGTAGGGGTGCAGCCCAGGGGGCACACGTGGTGAATCTGGGAGAACAGCCAGCTTCCTGACAGAGCCGGCTCCAGAGTCTGCTCTCCAGGACTGTCCTGCCTCAAGCCCTCACCTCTGGGCAGCCAGGTAGCCCTTTGCCCAGGTTGGTCCCAGCTGCACAGGTGTATCACCTCATGGCCACGGACTGAGCTGAGGGGACAAGGCCAGAGGCCTCTCATGTGGCCTCACGTCACGCAGGCCTCCAGCTGGCAGTGTGCAGGTAGCATGGCCCTTCTGAGCTAGCAATGAGGATAACGAGGAACAAAGAAGCAGGGATAGGGGCCCTGCCCTGGGGCCCTGCAGCACTCAAATCCATGGGGCCCAGCTTACTGTCTCACACACGTGAACACACACAGACATGCACTGAGACACACGTACACACAACCTCTCACTGCCTCTTAGGAAACGAGCACTTGCATGAACATCTGATCCCTGAAGGTGAAGAAACAGGAAGATAGAGAATGACATCCAAAGGGCTGAGGCAAGAGGGAGTGTGGAGAACACTGACGAGGTGCCCATGCGATGGTCACACTCACACACCAGCTGGGTCATCCCCGAGGTCTGGAGGACAATGGATCAGCTGCTGCTCGAGGAGTGAGGTGGGGACCCCAGGTGACGTGCCAGGCCAGGATCTCATGTCTGGGCCAGTGAGAGCTCCTCCAGACCCCCCTTCCCAAGCCGGTACCTGGCCAGGTCTTTCCTGGTTACCAGCCCGACAACCTGTGGGAACAAAGCCAGGTCATGGGAATCCAGTGGCCTCACCTCACGTCTGTGGAAACATGTGGGGGAGTAACAATTTGGAGGAGACCCGGAGATGGACACATGGCCAGTCTGAGTCCTGGGCCTCAGAGTCCCCTGCAGATGTTGAGAGCAACTGTGCACCTGTGGCCAGGGCCGGCAGGTCAGGAGGCACAGGGGCCCTCTGCACCCCCAGACTACTCACCTGATTGCGGTTGTCCACCACCACCAGGTGCCTGAGGCCCAGGGCCCGGAACAACTTGAACACGCGAGGGAGAGAGGCCTCCTGTAATATGGGCATGGCCTCAGCTTGCCTGCCGGCCCAGACTGCCCCAGCTGAGAGCAGAGGCAGTACCTATCAAGCTCAGGGTCGGCTGCCTCCCATCACACTTGCCACTGCCAGGACAGCAGTATGTGTCCTAAGCCACCCCTTCTCCTACATGGCAGCCAGCTCACCCACCCTGCCTCAGTTGTGCTGCTGGGATCCGGCTCCACAGCCTTCCCTACCCCCAAACCTTGTCCTGGGTTTAAGGGTGGAGCTCTTCCCACTTTTCCGCTGACTCCACTCCAGCCCTTCCCTAGAAGGCCACTGAAGGCCACCTCAGGACCCTGCAAGTGGGAAGCAGGTACCTGGGGCACCGTGTACGGGGAAGGGTTCATGAATTCGGAGAGGTCCATGGTGCACTCGCGCTCATCCTGGGACACATGGATGGACTGGATCGGGGGGAAGCGGGGATAGGCATCCCGGAAATCCTTCAGCCTCAGCCTCCGCTGTACCAGGCCCCTGTTGGACCGCTCGACAAACACCTGTGGGCAGCAGGTAACAGGGAGTGGATAGTGCATATCAACACCCCATCGCCCCGCCTGGTGTCTCCCACACCTGGAGGTGCTGAGAAACTTACCTTGTGTTTCAAGAGGACAATCAGCTGGGAGCGCAGAATCAGGCCCTGGAGCCGGGCTGACTACATGAAAAAGACAACAGATAGCCTTGTCTGTGGGCAGAGCCCAAGACCCACGGCCCTGCCTGGCTGGCTGGCTGTAGACCCTGCTGAAAGCTCATGGGTGTGAACCGGAGGGCAGGCACTTATCTCAGCAGCAGTTCCAGGATGTCTGCCCATGGACCTTGCCTCCAGCCAGATTCCTGATCACGCCCCTCATCAACGTGTGGCCACTGTCTACTAGTGCTGGCCTTGCCAAAGGCATTACACCTATGCAAGCTTATTAATCCCCAAAACACCTGGGGAAGAGAGCAGGATCCAAAATACAGAGCAAGGAACAAAAGTACCTTGGTTGCAGCATGTGCCAGGGCGAGATGAAGGCCTAACCCTGACAAAATTCATCCCAAACCTTTGGAAGCATGTTACTGGGAGCACACACATTCCGTCAGGGCCTCTCCTGACAGAAGGCACAGCCATGGCTGATGGTGCAGTGTGGAGTATGAGCATGAGATACATGGGTGCCTCACTAACCCTATCTACAGGGGCGGTGTTCACAGTTATGTGACCTGGCTCCTTTCAGAGAAGAATTTTACTATAAACCCAGACATGGGGTCTCTACGTCCCTACAAACCATACCAGCCCAACATGCCCTGTTTGACAGGTACATGGGCTTCCCTGTGAGGTGGAGTGAGGCAGAAGCTGGCCTGAGGCAGCTGGCTCCTGTGAGATGGCACCGAACCCAGGTCTACCCGCCCAGGTCCCGGTACCTGTGTATCATCAGTGGACTCCACCACGGGGAACCCATTGTGATTGGATGCCGTGTTGCTGAGCACATCCACAATGACACCCACTTTCTCCCTCCTCCGCAGGCAGGTGACCGGTGTGCTCATTACCTCCCTGTGGAAGAGCACACACTTCATTCATCGTAAGCCACACGGTGACGAACCATGTGACCATGGGGGTTCCTGAACCGTCTTTCTGCACACCAAAGTTGAGGTTCAACAGGCATGAAGTTGCTGGACACAGTAAGCCAGGAGAGGGGATGTAGGAAGCCTGGAGGCCGCAGACCCCAGGTGCTGCCTTGGGAGAACCAGTCCTGGGCGGGGGGGCGGGAGGGGGGCGGGACGGGGAACGACTACAGCCCCAACACTCAGAGAGCATCTCCCAGATGTTTGCACACAGGTATGTGGCTTCCTTCCTGCTCCTAACCACCCACTCGTCCTGCCAGAGCATTAGCACCACCTTCGCCTCCAACCTAAGTATGAGGAGGAGGCCCCAGGCCTGCAGGCCTTCAGCCTAAACCAAGACAGGGAGAAAAGTGATACCTGGCGGTGAGCGAGTGCGAAGTAACCGGGGCTTCCCAGTGTAGGAAGGGCACACTTTGTAGCTGGATGTGCATGTCATACAGGCCCTGAGGAGGGGGCAGACGTCATGCACAGTCCTGACTTGGGGGGAGGGGTTCTGGGGCGCAATGACCAGCCACCAAGGGAGAGATCCAGGAGAGCACTGTGCCTGCCCCTGAGGGAGGGGTCCCAAGTGCACTGTGCCTACCACTAAGGCAGAAGTTTTTTGGGGGATGGTTTCACAGGGGCTCCCTTCCCTCCACTACTGCTACAGAGCCCCAGTCCCCACATTCTCAGGCTCTGAGACCACGGCATGGGGATGGGACCCAGAGCAAAGTCAAGGGGCAGGCCAGCCTTTCCCCTCCAGCTGCACCTCAATGAAGATGTCTCCTACGATCTTGGCGGTCATTAGGACCAGCATGATGGGGAAGCCATAGGTCACGTTGCTGGTGGCCTCCATCATGATAACTGTCAGGCTTAGCGTCATCCTCACGATCCCACCTGCCCGGGTAGGGAGAGGTGGGCTAGGGTGAGAAAGGGGTGGTCTCTGTAGGCCACTCCACCTGGTCCCGCCCTTCGCCCTTGCCTGACCATGTTCTCTCTGCAGGGCCTGGCCCCATTCCATTCAGGGCCCAGGTACACCCTTTAGGGAGTGGTCGATGGCACTAAATTGAATACCCAGCCTTCAAGCTCCAATGAGGCACCTGCCTCTCCTGACCTTGGGATGCCCTCGTGGCAGACAGGACTCACCCAGCTGGGCCGCTGCTCCCATCAGGGCATACTTGCCGGGGTCTGCCCAGATCTGTAGGGAAGACACAAAGGTTGATATTGGGGTGGTATCCCTTACCCAAGCCTACCAAGATTCACAGACACTACCAGAGCCCACCTGGGCCCAGCAATTTCACATCCAGGAGAGTTTATACACACATGTGCAAAATAATCTGCACTTCCTCAGTCATAAGAAAACTCTGGAAATAACCAAGGAGTGGCCCAATCAAAGACATCCTGAATGAATCATATACGCTGTCTGTCTGCATGTGCTGGAGAACTCACTGGTGTGAGAAAGGATGCCCTCTGTGTACAGAGGAGGAAGAGCTACAGGTGTGCGTAGCAATGGAGGCCAGCATGGTGCGTGCAATGACTGTCATCTGTGCAGAAACGCCTGCACCACATGAGGGAGAGCACAAAGGAGTAAAAATCTGACATGTGCTACATGGATGAACCCTGAAGACTGAATGCTCAGTGACAGAAGCCAGACACAGATGGTCACATGGTGTGCGACTCCACTTACACAAAACAGGCAGAAGAGGCCAAATCCACTGAGACAGAATGCAGACAGTGAGTGGCTGCCAAGGGCTGGACAGGGGCATGGCAGTGAATGCTAACGGGGACCGGTTTCTTTTGGGGATGATGAAAATGTCCTGGACCTACAGAGTAATAATGGTTTCACACACTAAACACACTAAAGAACCACTGATTTATACTTTTAAAGGGTGGATTTATGGTATGCGAATCATGCTATAACTAGGAAAACACAAAACACTGTGTCTGAAAGGAAACTTGAGACGTGAGAAAAGCGTGCCCCAAGTCTGGCAAGGGGAGTGAGTGGTGGGACAGTGCGGGAGTGACTCGTCTGCCCTGTTTACAGCTTTTTAAAAGTCTTATTTGAATAACTAAAGAAAAAAAGCGAATATATATAAAATTAAAACCAAGCTGTCCGTGCAGGCAGGTGGGAAGAGGGGGGCCATGGAGGCTGAGCAGCGCAAGGTAAAGCCTGTGACACACATAGCCAGTCACCACCTTTCACACCTTGGGTGCCCACCCAAGGCCATCCAATCCTTCCACGTCAACTTCCTTCACTGAAAACCACTGAGCCCTTGACACCATCTCTAGAACACATACACAGACAGCTACACTAATGGTGTGTTCCTATCAAACGGCAGCAGCCAGAAAACTAGGGCCAAGTAAAATGGCCAGAGGCTCCGATATGCTGACTACCTGCACTGGGAGCCCTCTGTTGTCACTCAGTGGCCCGCGGCTGGTGCACCAGGACTGCCCCACTTCCCCCCAGCCCAGCTCTGGTCCTGTGCTTGGTGCATGGAGACCCTCACTTACTGCGGCCCCGGTGAGGTAGGACAGCGAGATGCCAAAAAGCCGACCCCAGGCAGCTCCAATGAGCAGGGATGGGATGAAGACACCAGCGGACACCGTCAGCCCGTAAGTCCAGCAGGCCAGGAAGAAGTATACGAGGGTGAAGAGGCCGAGGGTCACAGGGTTGTAAGAGCCTAGTAGAGAGGGGCTGGTCAGGGCCTGTCACACAGCCTTGTACCCAAACAGGGCCATCCAACCACCTACCCAGTCATGACCTCTGGGTCATATCCTGATCCCTATACACCCTGATGAGCCTCCTGAAGACTCCCCATTTTCAGAGGCCAGAGCACTGGGTTTTGGAGGCTGGGTCCTCTGAAGTGGGAGAATGGTTGCCCTGCTCAGGAGCAAGTGGGGCCCAGTGCCTCCAGCAGGACAGTGACCTGAGGCCTAGAGGTGTCCATTGAGGTTCATGTGCAAAAAGTTGGCATCACAGTACAGATCACTGGGGGTCAGAGGAAAAAGGCCACCAGCCACATTCCATACCAGATAACTTCCAGACACAGGAAGACACCAAGCAAATCCTGAACTAGCATGTCGGGAAGCCTGGTGCCAATTGCTGGCTTTGCCTGACACTTTCTAGAAAGGCCTTGGCCTTGCCCCACATTTAAATGGCTTTCTGTTAAATTTTGTGGACTCCTGTCACATGAACAGAGTTATAAGGACCAGAAAAGTCCTGGCAGTCTTATTTGTGACAGAAAACAATTAGGGACAACCTAAGGTTCTTAAGAGGTGGGATGATACCACGTAGTAGCACAACAGACAAATCTGACGCCATTTACCCTGGCTTTCATACTCAAGTGCCTGTGGGTTGTTGCAGATTAGGCCAGAGAGGGCAGTGCCCCACAGGGCTGTGCGTCTGACAGCACCAGGCACAGGCACACACCTGGGGGGTCATGGAACAGACCAACCACGCTCTTCTCTGGAGTGTTGAAGAAGGCTGCAGCCATTGAGTTGTACTCGCCATCTGCACAGAAGAGCTGCAAGGTTGGGAGAGAAAATGGGCCAGTGGAATGGGGCAGTCCTGGCCAGCAGCGAGTGCCAACCACATGGCAGGATGGAGTTGGGCTACTGCCTCAGAGAGGAGGCAGGTCACATTTCTTAGGTCCATACCCAACAGCCCCCACTTCTGAAGTCCTCCATGGTCCTTGCCAGGCTGCTGTTTTGGGAGGAAGACTGGATGAGACTCCACTCCCACATAACACCAGCTTTCCTGGCACCCAGCAGGCTGCCTAACCCTCTCGGAAGTTGCACCAGCATTTTCAGCCCAGAGTTCTATTAGCAACCCTCCTGCCAGTAGGGGGGAGCAAGTGCTCCTCCTCAGAGGACCTATCCTGGCCCCCACTTGGTGGGTCCGACTTCCTACCTGGAGGGGGTAAGACACAGAGCTCCCCTGCAGGGGCTGGCAGTCCCGGGATGAGTAGATCAGCACAAAGGCAACAGTGGCTGTGACGGCGGCCACCAGCATGGCTTCAATCACCTGGAGGCAGGGCCGGTGGATGTACCTAGAATAACACTGAGATGAACCAGGCCTCCAGAAACCTGGGCAGTTGCCATGGCAACCTAAGGCAGTGATTCACTGAGAGCTGGTGCTACATTGATTAGGAGAGTGACATAGCACATTCAATCATCAATCTACCCAGACTCATGCTTGTCTTCAGATCATCTCCTGGATGCTCCCCAACACATTTAAGTTGGTGTAAGAGGACAAGGAAGAAGTGCTTCCCCAAGCCCAGAATCCACCCCTCAAAAGCTCCAGTAATGGCTCTACTAATGGTAAAAGAAGCCGTGCCACCTGACTGTGCTGAGGGGTAAGATGGCCCTGGCAGACCAGGCTGAGGCCAGGATCCATAGGCAGCGTCTCCCCTGCCAGGCCTCTCCTAGCCTTATCCTACCTGTCCCCTGGCCACATACTGGTCTATCCCCTTCATGCACTAACCGTTGCAGAGGAAAGCACACCAGCACATGGCATTCTATGTGACCCTGTGGGCACACGGCCCATGAGTACGTTTTCATTGGGGCTGCAAAACAGGTTTCTCACCTGATTCGAAACATCGTCAGCCAGTAATTCAAGGCATTGAACACAGCCCCAAGAACACCACCTGAGATCAGGAAGGAGCCGTGTATTAGGAACACAAAGGAATGATGGAGGCTGCCCAGGCAGCAGAGGGAGGAGGAAGGGACTGGAGGGGATGGATGGTCTGTGAAAACACCTGTTCTCCATCACTGCACCCTGGTGAATAGACAGAGCAGCGTATTTCTGAAAGCCTTTGTCTCCCTTTTAGGGAAAAGGGTTCACAGAGTGATGAACGCTGTCCAGGGTCTAGTCTATTTCTTACATGGGTTTCCCAATGGAGCAGAGCTCCAGTTTCCCTAAGGAAATCCCTGGGGATTTCCTCCCCAGGTGGCCCTGGAGCAGCAAGCAGAGTGTGGGGGCTGCAGCCTTCTCCAGCCATTTCAAAGTGGGGCCAGACCTGGAATCCCGCAGGCCCTGACCACCATCTTGAGCAATGGGGAAGCATGGAGCCAGGAAGGTTGGTGTCCTGCTCAGGAGGGCCCTTACCCACCACTCCCATGGCGATGAAGATGGGGATCTCATGGATCGTGTACACCATCGTCTGTGCAAAAAGAAGAGCAGACATTCTGTGAGGAAATGTGTCATCAGCTTCTTCCCACTCAGACCAGACTTGAGGCCTGGGTGTTATATACCATCTATCCACATGCATGGGAATCTTCTGGCACTTTCATATAGTGCTGTACAGGCCCCACAGAAAACACGCTGGGTATTTTGGGCAGACTGCATGATTTCTCACACGAGCTGGTCGGGAAGGTGCTCAGAGGCCCCGTGAGACTTTATCTTTGCATGGCTTTTACCTTCTCCTCACCCAGGCATCCATCCACCTTAGAAGGGGGAACAGGCCTGAGCTCCAACAGAGTAGGCATCAAGGAGGGCAGGAGGGAGAGCCCTAGGAACACATCTAGTGGCACAGACAACCCAAGAGCTCAAATATGTCCCTGTGTGGACATCCTAGGAGTGAATGTTCCAGGAGTACGTCCTCCTTGCAGTATCTGGTGACTACAGCACATGGTCCAGGCCTCCCTAGGGACACTGGCCTGCTCCTACTCGCCCTCCATAAGCTGGCGCAGCACCAACACCCCAGGTCCCACAAGTCTCAGTGTCATGGTCTAACAATCTGTGGATGGCTGAGATGACCCTGAAGTGCCCACTGGGTTGTTTAACAGGGCATCCTAACTTGCACAGCCAAGCTGTATGTGTTTCCCTAGAGCACCTCTGGCCCCTGGTGCTTATTATTATTATTTTTTAAAGACTGTTATTTATTTTTTACAGCAGAAGGGAGAAAGAGAGGGAGAAACATCAGTGTGTGAGAGATACATTGATTGGTGCCCCTTGCACACCCCCAACTGGGGACCTGGCCCACAACCCAGGTGTGTGCCCAGACTGGGAATTGAACAGGTGACGTTTTGTTTTATAAGACAACACCCAACCCACTGAGCCATGCTGATCAGGGCTCCTGGTGCTTATAAACAAGAGCTCAATTTCAGAGTAAAGAAATGGAGTTTTCCAAAATCCCAAGTTCCCAGGATGAACCTTGGGTAAACAGCCATGGTCGCAACGAGAAGAACCAGAAACAGCAAGCAGGTCATGTTACCTCTGTATCAAATCTTCCAAAATTGATGAGGCCCGGGCTGGAGAGGTCCCAGATGTTTCCATGGTAAATGCTTAAGACGAAGTTCAGTGTGAAGGTGGAAATCATGGAAGCAAAGAACTGTGGACACAGAGACAAACAAGTACCATCAAAACAAAAGTGCCCACCCAGACGAACCCCTGGAGCTGGGGAGGGGGTTGTAAGAGATGGGGCTCCTCTCCTGTCATTCAGGGGGCACCCGGAGGCCCTCCAAAGGCCAAGGAAGTCTGGAGTCTCGATGGCCAGCCCCCTCAAGGCTGGATAAGCCAGGCAAGTGTGGGGCCTCTAGCTTTTGCTGGATGAATATGGGGTCAAGCCAAGACGGAGTTGAGGGAAGGAGGTGTACAAGGTTTGGGGTTCCCAATGAGGAGCTGGAGGGGAATCAGGTGAAAACAGTGACCACGACTGACAGAGGAAGGGCAAGTGGCAAGAGGAGGCAAACCTCAGGGTCAAGTGAGGCACAGAGCTGAGCCGTAATGACCCATGGGGGGCATGGCTCCAACCATAGCTTGACAGGAACCTCAGGTGACGGCACTGAAGTGTGGACCCAGAGCACGGTGTCCACTGGAGCAGAGAGGCCACAGAGGACAGATGTGGGCACTGCCTGACTTGGGGAGAGGCACCATCAGTGGGAACTTACGATTCTCCATGTCAGGAACTGGTTCCAGAAGGAGGCACCTTCCTCCAAGCTGAAGAGGACCCCACCTGGAACGCAGCAGCCCAACCCTGAAGTTTCCACCCAGGCACAGGGAGCACCAGGCATAAGGAACCCATGCCCGCAGCCCCTCACACCCCAGACCCAGGGCACCAAGCCCACATCAGAGGCAGCCATAGGGCCACCCCACATAGCCCATCACCCAGCATTCAAGTCTGCAAACACCTAGATTATTTCTTCACATGGCAGGGACAGTCTGGCTTCCCCAAGACAGGCAGTTACTTGTCAGACCAGGCAGGGCCCCTACTTACCTACAGGGGCCCCAAACGCAGCAGACACTCCAGCCGCAGCTCCTGCAGAGACGAAGTCCCGCTTCTCTGTATCTCTGCGGAAGTACTCAAAGATCTGATGTGAAAACAGAGCAGACAGGTAGAGGGTCTTAGCCAGCTCCTCCAAGGGCACTTCTGAGAAAGGTAGATAGTAAGTAGAGGCCACCAAGGCAGGGGCGAAAGGGAGACAGAGGGAAGGGGAAGAGATGGGGAGGGGGAGGAGGTGGGTGCAGAGAAAGGGGAAGAGTTGATGATGAGTTTCTCCCCCTCTCTTTCTCCCTTCCGCTCTCTAACTCATCAACTACTGGATTCACAAAGACTGCAGAACCAAAGAGGCAAAAGAATAGAATTCTCTCGCATACTAACCACCATGAGAAAACAACGAAGGATTCCATCACACCAAGAATTAAACTTTATGACTTGTGCAAGAGATACATTAAAAACTCAAAACTCCACCAAAAGATCTAACAAAAACTAAATGAAAAACCTAAGCGTGTTCTTGATTTAAAAGGACTCTGTTCTGTAAAAATGTTAACTGTTGCTAAATTCATACATAAATTCAGTGCAATTCCCCTCAAAAGGCTGGTGTATTTTTGGTGAGACGACAAAATTATTCTGAAGTGTATCTTAAAAATTAAGCATCTTTAATCCGTAAGCAGACCATTCCTGACCTCTTTCTAGGTCATAGAGTACAGGCCATTTCTTCAGAAAAATACACATCCACACAAAACATTGAGAATCAGGCTCTAAGCACACTCCTGGGGCAAGTGCCAGGAGAGCTGCCCAGAACAGGACACTGTGGATGCCCTCAGATTCGATGTCAAGGACAGTTCTGGCAGAGCACACCTGTGCGGAGCAGGAGAGACCCTGCTCTCTGACATTCATAGTTACCCTCACCGTCAACATCTGTATCAGGCAAGAACTCACCTTGAAATCTCGCTTCAGCGATGTTGACCTCCCCTGGGAAATCCCAGCTGCAATCACAGAGCCCGAGTGAATCATTGGTCCCTCCTGGAAAGCACAGGACAGCCCACATGAAGCGAGTTCAGAGAGTACACGAATTATGGAGGGACTCAGGTCAAAGCAATATCCCTCGGGCTCCGTTACCTTTCCCACAGCCAGTCCTCCCACCACAGACAGGATCACACCAGATACTTTGATCACCAGGGTCTGGAACACAAAGAAAAATATGTCAAGTCTCTGATTAAAAGTCATACACAGTCTGAGAACCTGAGCTACAGTATTGTACACAAAGCGATACTAATAATGTAAACATCCCAGTACCCAGGAGTGACAAAGAGGGCACTCAAGAGGCACCAGTACAACCCTCCGCTTGAGATCACTTTGCTCCCCCAGTGTGTCCACCACCCACCATGCTCCTGGGCTGCAGGACTCCAGGCCCCCAGGAGCATCAGCTCCCCAGACAGGGGCAGGAGAAAAGCATCGGCAAATCCCCAGCTGAGGCACGCAGACAAAGTCACTGGAAATGGCCACTGGAGAAGGCCTGACTTCCCAGCCCCCTCCAAATCAGCATGTCATCAAGAACACTAAGCATAATGAATATTAAGAAAATTTTTGACAAGTAGAAAAAGCTCACAGCAAGTTTTCCACTCCAAACACAAGTACTCTCGTTCTGGAATGTTAACCACCACACAGAACTTACAAACATGTTCCGCGCTTCTGCGATTACAGCACATGTGCCACTTAAGCATTTTTGTGTTTTTTAAAATGGGCAGAGAAAGCTTTTACCACTCTCCAAAGAAAGTTTACATAAAATCTGCCAGTACCTCTATATACACACTCGTCAGCGGCATACAAAATAGGTCTGGGTGAATTTTGGAGGTGCAGGTGGACAAAGGCTTCTAACCGAGCAAAAAATCCCCATGATGAGCACCATGCTCCCAGCCAAGGGTTTCACCTTCTCACCTTGAGCCGGACTACATGGGGGATCTTAACTCCGTTGAGGAAGCACTTGATCTGGGGGATCCCACTGCCAGCAGCAACTGGCTGGAAAGAGAGGGAAGTGAACATAGAGCTGGCCAAGTTGAGGAGCTATAGGCCCACGCAGATTCGGCCTCATGGAGTTAAAGACGGAGGGAGGGGACAACATGGAACTGAACAGGACAGCTGCCTGGGGAAGGGGCTTCTCACTTTTCCCCACCACAGATGCAGAAGGACCACCGAGGAGTGCAAATGCCGTGGTATGTGGGAGAGGTTGGGAATGGAGATGTAAGGAGGCAGGGGACACAGTGGGGATACTCAAGGACAGATAGGAGGTACATATCATGTACCAGCTGAGAGGAACCAGAGTTCCTTGAACTCCTTGGAGGGGACACTGCACTCAAGAGAGAAGCTTCTAGATGCTTTCCCCTCTTCCTTCCAACACGTCATGACAAGGAAAGAGCAAAGAAAGAGGCAGGCCATAGGAAGGGCTTCTGGAAGAAATCCTGGAATGAAGGGCCCCTAGGAGGATCTGATCCCCTCAGGTTGGAGTTGGGGGTTCTCCCTTCCACCTGGACCCCTGGGTTGGGTCAGCCCTGCAAACCCTAGGGACCCCCTAGACATGGGCTGTGTGCTTCCCCCCCGTGGTGCTTGCTGTGTTAAGGTGCTGGGCAGGGAGGCCCAGATAAATTTTCTGTCCTTACTAAACTGTTTAACATACTGTACCAGTGTGACCACACAAATCTCACTGGCAAAAGCTGCAGTAGGTGAGCTGGAGGAGCTCCCACCACCCAGGGCTCCCTCATGGCCATACCTCTATGAAGGCAACAATCACGGAGCCAACCAGCACGAACGCCGAATTCAGCGTGGCCCACAGCAGGAGAGAGAAGGACAGCCCCCCCTTCTCTGTGAACTTGTCGATATCTGGACTCATCAAGGATGACTATTAGCTCACCATCTGATGTACCACACCCCCAGCCTGCCACACCCCTGTGCTAACTGCACATCTCAGAGTCATTCCACAGCCCAGCAAGAGATGCTACCTGCCCAGTCCCACTTCTCCCAGTTGGAGGACAAATACCCAGAGATGTCTTTCGTTGGGCCCACGCTAGGCTTCAAGGCCAACTCGTAGGACCCTATGCTCTGCTCTAAGCTCCACCACTCTGTGCTGGGCACCTTCAGATAAGGATACTGTCTTTGACAACCTTGTATTTCAGGCCAGCCAAGTTCTCCACCATGATGTCGATGAAGCAGGCCACGAGCCCTGTGAGGATCCCTATCATGGCACAAATGACCCAGCGCTTGATCTCCACTGTCCGGAAGGCCTGCAGGGGAGGCATCAGAGGCAGGTGCAGAGGCAAGGCATCAGCCACAGGCTGCTCTGGTTATAACATCACTGGCCCTGGAATTCCGCAGGCTGCCACCATGCACAGTGCACTGCACTTTACACCCCCAGGCCATGATAGCAGGTTCTGGTCAATGTCTCAGAGACGATGGAGCATTGGGGTTGAAGAGAAGGGGTATGGCCCTTCCCAACCAATCCATAATCAGTTGTTGACATTCTGGATAATGTGGCTGACATGTCTAAGACCAGCCTTCTTTGCTGTAACTGGGATATGACACAATACCCTTTTCTGTACCAGGTATTGGGTGTCTCTTGCTCTAGGACATAAACCGGAACCCAAAGCACAAGGACTGGGGACAAAAGGGAGAAAAAGGGGGACACATCACTACACCCAGGTGGGAGAACAGCGTCAGACCAGCTCTTGGGTCCCCAGGGCAGCATCCAGGCTTTCAGGCCCCAGACTCACCATGTGGTTGATGCGCCTCTCCTCCTCCAGGAACAGCTGGTTCTCACTGTTGTCGTAGTCCAAGCTCTGTAGACCAGGGTGGCAGAAACAACACAGTGACCGACCCTGATGTCCCAGGTTCACATGGGGCAGCTGGTAGGCGTGAGGCTTGAGAGGGGATGAAGTGCCTGGGGCTGCATAGGGCAGGGGCTCCCAGGGAGGAGGCCCACCTCATACTTGAGGGATAAGAGCTTCTCGTTGTGTGGGATCTCCTTGGGGAAAGGGTGAGGAGGGTCCATCTCCTGCAAAAAAAGAGGCAGAGCCATGCACTGACAATCCAGCATATTGACAAATGAAGCACAACTGAGGAGAGGATGGAGCACGTGTCCACTCATCTCACAAAGCCACTACTCCCCTGACCCCAAAGACAGACATGGATGCCATGACAAAGGAAAGTCACTACAAATGCGCATCCCTTGTGAACAGACACAAAGTTCTCAACAAGACGCCAGTGGGTTGGATCCCGCAACACACCAGGAATACAAGGGTGATTTACCACCTGAAAATCTACTGGAGAATATATTACTGGTCTTTGTGACCTCGGACTACGCAATAATTTCTTAGATACAACAAAAGCACAAAAGAAGAAAATAAACACACTAGAAGATAAACAGACTAGATGTCATCAAAATTAAAGGCTTTTTACCCTGGCTGGCATGGCTCAGTGGATTGAGTGCCAACCTATGAACTGAAAGGTTGCCAGTTCGGTTCCCTATCAGGGTGCATGCCTGGGTTGCCGTCCAGGTCCTCAATTGGGGGTATGTAAGAGGCAACCAGTCAATGTATCTCACACACTGATGTGTCTCTCCCACTCCCTAACAGTAAGTAAACCAATTCTTTAAAAAACAAATTAAAGGCTTTAGTGCTTCACAGGACACCATTAGAAAGTGAGAAGACACCCACAGAAAAGGAAAGTTTCTGCGAATCGTGTATCTGATGAGCAATTTGTGTCTGCACTATATAAAAATATATGAAAAACTCTTGCAGCTCAATGAGAAAAACAGAAACATCTCAATTAAAAATAAGCACAAATCTAAATAGACATTTTTCTAAAGAAGCCATACAAAGGGCCATTGGCACATGAAAGATGCTCAACATCATTGGCCATCAGGGAAATGAAAATCAGGACCAAGAGACACCTAAGGAGGAAGTCAAATGCAAGTCTGGGGGAAGGGCTTAGGAAATGTTCCCCCGGCAGCTGCTGGACACAGGGGCAGAAGAGGACCTCATCGCTGTCCAGGGACGCCCACCCTTGAGATGCCCGCCCTGCCCCCAGGGCCCTCGTTCAGCCTACCTGGCGTCCGCCTCCCACCCATGGCACCTGCCCCTCTGGCCTGCTTCCTGTACCTACACACTACATGCTCAATCAGCATTTTACACCTTTCATACACTTTCCCCATCTCTGTTCATCTGGCTTGGCCTCAAGGAACATAGCCCCTTGGAGAGGCATTCCCTGGTCAACTAGGGTCTGGGGACCCCACTGTCTGGTCCTCATTTTGTCTCTGAGTTCTGCACAGCCCATGTCTGCTCCCAGGTTCTGTATGGCCCTGCCAATGTCTGTTCCTGAGCTCTACATGGAACTGCCCATGTCTGTCCCTGAGCCATGCACACAACTGCCCACATCTGTCCCTGAGCTCTGTACAGAATGGCCCACATCTCTCCCAGGGCCCTGCACGGCTCTCCCTACATCCACCATCCTCTGGTTTGGCATTTACTATCTGCCCTCTGCTAGGCTGCATTTCTACAGAGCAGGCCTCGTCCTTGCTGCAGATAAACAGGAATGACTCCCACTCACTGGGTCCAAAAGCTCATCGTCCAGCTCCATGTTGCTCATCTGTCCAATCTGGAAAGATGTCGAATGAGGTAACTGGAAAAAAAAGAAATGACAGGGCGCTTAACCACAGGGCCAAGCTGCACTGAGCATCACCACCCCACTAGGATGGCCTGGTCTTATCTGGCCCTGCTTGGGGAGCACAGGCCCACATCTGCTGTGTGGGATGACAGCAGGGCCAGTGCTGGACCCGGCCGGCCGCCTTCACCTACAGCCTGTCACCCAGAAGTCCAGCCTTGGAATGGGAAACCCAGGCCTTCCCTACCCCAAAGGCCCTGCCCTCCCTTGCTCTAGGGCACTTCAAAGATTAGAAATCTGCCAGCCACCAGAACCCAGGGCTGCAGGCAACCATGCTGGTGTTCTCTTGCCCCCCCCCCAAAAAATTCAGGCACCCCAGGGTCCTTCCTCTGGGAACTTTTATGTCACCCCCTCACCGTGTCTCCCATCATGAAACCAACTGGTTCTGCCAAGGGGGGCCTGGCACAGGCCTCCAGGCCAGCTCCTCAGACACGCAGTCTGAGGTGCCTCCTCCCTCAGGGCAGGGGTGCCCTCAGCACCCAGAACCCTCCCACTCTGAGGTGGGGCCACACTCCGGGACCCAGGTGGCAGGTCAACCACAGAGACAGACAACTAGGAGCGTGACTTCTCTTATACCCACTGCTGGGTATAGGCAGAGGCCTGGACTAGGAAACAATACATGGGTATCAGTTACATTTTCATTTCAGAGAAGCAACAAATCATGTTTTAGCTTATGTCCCAAATATTGCCTGGAACATACTTGAACTCAAAAATGATTCATTGATTCTCTGCAATGCGAATGCAGCTGGGCGCCCTGTGTTTTATCTGGCAGCGCTACACGCAGCAGAAAAAGAAGCAGCCATGACGGGAACAAATTCTGCTGCACACTCAACAACGGACATCCAGCCATAGTGCAGTCACTCCGCGACAGAGTGTTTACAGTCAGAGGAAAACAACTTCAAGTGGCTACTTATGGAGGGGACAGGAAAAGTGAGGGGCATGTTGGGGCTGGGGCTCAAAGGATATTGACTGATTGAGGGGTGGTTGTCTGAATCCCCTGGAACTAATGCAAACAATTACAACAGACTGGGGGGCTTAAATAGAGTAAAAAAAAAATTCCCAGCTCTGGAGGCCCAAAGTCCAAAATCAAGGTGTTGGCAGGTAGCACTTCCTCTCAAGGGTCATGAGGAGGCTCCTTCCTGCCTCTTCTAGCTTCTGATGGGTGCGCAATCCCTGGCATTCTTCGGCTTCTGGCCGTATCCCTCTTTATGCTTCCATAGTCACAGAGCCTCCGCCCTGTGTGTGTCCCCAAACCTCCCTCTTCTTATGAGGACACCTGTCACTGGTGTCAGACTACGCCAGTCTGACCTCATCTTAACTTGATCACGTTTACAAAGATCCTATTTCCATGTGAGGTCCCATGCACAGGTTCCAAGGGTAAGGAGTGGACAGGTGTTTTGGGTGGTAATATGTGAGATGTGTGTTCACTTGACAATCATGCCCCACTTGCACGGCTGTGCACTTCTATGTACATATGGTAGATGTCAGTAGAACATGTGCTTAATGAGAGAACGTAGTTGTTCTCTCTTCTAAAAACAACTGACAATGCCCCCAAACTGCTGAGTCTGATGAAAAAGGAAGGTGGACGGGGCCACCCCACTGGCTGCTGTGTGGGCCCAGGAAGGGATTCCAGTTGAGTGAACTCCAACCAGGAAATGGCCTGACACTGGCTGCAGTTCCCATCTCCCAGACAGGACATGTGATCTGGCAGCATGCATGGACTGTAAGCACAAACACAGCAACAACAAACACACTTCCTTGGGGACGGGCCCACACATGCAGACCAGCCTAGCAAATGGGGCACAGAGATGGACAAACTCAGCTAAGCAATGCCCAGGCAGCAATGAGAGTCAGACTGTGAAAAGAAAATGGGAACACCAATACTGCCATCCAACCTGACAGATGAAGCCCGCAGAAAAGGCATTCTGGCCACTTTTATCTTATTTGTCACTGATCATAAAAGCAGCTCAATCACGTCAGGCAGTCATTCCCACCCCAAGAATGTGGCCAAGTCTGATCCCACAAAGCATTTCTTTTGACATCTAAACAGTTTCTGGGGCCAGGCTGTGATGTCACACATGGCCAAGAGAGAGGAGGGACAGGACTCACTCGTTCAGGTGACTAGAGTTCCTCGGCACCTGGCCTTGAAAAAACCAGATGAGCACAAAACTTGGAAGCTGGGGTCCCTTGCTCCCAAGATATCCCTCCCAGTTTTTACCCACCACACATGGGTAGGGGACCACCTATTCCACATCTCTGCCCCTCCTACCCGTCTGAATGAATGTACCTTCTTTAATTCCTTGGTTGTTCAACTTCCATACAGCTTGATTTTTTGACGATTCTAGGTGATAGTTGTTTTGTAGTTTAATTGTAATTTTTGCTGTGGTTGTGTGAGGAGGCGAACTATGTTTACCTCGCCTCCATCTTGACCAGAAGTCCCTTCTCTTTTCTTAAACACATGTTAAATACTTGTTCTTCAAACTACTGATATGCACAATAGCCTGGGTGAAATCTTCCAGGGAAGGATGCTGAGTGAAAGTAGCAATCCCCCAAAATGTACATACTGTGCAGTCCTACTGACCTGACATTCTCAAAATGTCAGGCCTGGAGAGATGAGAACAGATTAGTGGTGGCAGGGGTGTGTAACTGTAAGAGTGAAACAAGGGGATCTTCACAGTAATGGTTACGCTCTGTACGCTGACTGCAGTGGTGTTCACACAGATCTACACACGAGACGTAACAGCAGAAACTCACATACACCGTGCTGACGTCAATGCCTGGTTTCTGCTCTGCACTGTTGTTACATAAGATGGAACCACTGGAAGAAACTGGGGGAAGGTACGCAAGCCCTTCCTGTACTGTCTTTCAACTTCCTGTAAATCCATAATTATTAAAAAATTTAAAACATTTATACACAAATGGAACATCAAACCAAAAAATTTCTGTGCATCAAAGGAAACAATATACAAAGTAAAAAGGCAACCTACAAACTGGGGGAAAATATTTATAAATAATAGGTTTGATAGAGTTAATATCCAGAATATATAAAGAACTTGTACAACTCAGTAACAAAAAAACTAACCTGATTAAAAAATGGACAAAGGACTTGAATAAACATTTCTCCAAGGAAGACATACAAATGGCCAATAAGCACATGAAAATGTGCTCAATATCACTAATCACCAGGTAAGAGCAAGTCAAAACTACAATGATACCATTTCAGACCTCTGAGGATGGCCAGAATAAAGAAAACAAAGAATAACAAGTGTTGGTGAATAATGTGGAGTGAGGTCATAACCTGGCGTGTGGGTATGAACGCAAAATGGTGCAGGTGCTGTGGAAAACAGTATGGAAGTTCCTCAAAAAGTTAAAAATAGAACTATCATATGATCCAGGAATTCCACCCCTCTGCATATACCCAAAAGAACTGAAAGTGTCTCAAAGAGATATCTGTACACTCATACTCACAGTAACATTATTCATAATAGCTAAAATGTAGAATTAGCCCAAATGTCCACTGACAATGAATGGATAAACCAAATATGGTATATACATAAAATGGAATATCATTCAGCCATAAAAAGAATGGAAATTCTGCATTATGTTACAACATGGGTGAACTTCGATGACTTTATAGTAAGAGAAAATAGTGAGCCATAGAAAAACAAATACTGTATGATTTCCATTTATATGCAGTCCCTAGAATAGTCAAATTTATAGGGACAAAAAAAAGAACAGTAGTTGCCAGGGGCTGAGGGAAGTTAAGCTGGTGTTTAATGGGCACGGTTTCAGTTTTGCAAGATGAAAAGAGCTCTAGGGATGGACGGTGATCATGGCTGCACAACAATGTGAATGTACTTACCACCACTGAACGGTGTACTTAAAAATGGTTAGGGTGGTAAATTTTGTTACATGTTTTTACCACAATTAAACCAAATTTTAAAAATATGTTAAAAATCATTTGCTGTCCCACTCTGCCACTCTGCGTTCTAACATCCTCCGCTATCCATACTTAGCACTGAAGACACAAGGCTGCCACAGCAAGGGGCTCATGGTCAAAGAAAACAAGTTTCCCATAAACAAGTAAGTGTGAATTACGAGACTTGAGCTAATGAGTGGGTGATTAGGAGGCACTGAGGTTGAGACCTAAAGGAAGAAAAGGAGCAAGCTGTACGGTGGAGTGGGGGCAGAGTGGGAACAGCCCCACTGCTGCCCCCTCAGAACACTGTGGCTTCTGCAGAGGGGGTGGGGGGGTGTTTCCCAAGACCCTCTGGTTAGGCCTGGGGTCACTCTTGTCCCTCAGTTCTCTGCTCTGTCAGGCCATGTGTCCTCGCCTGCCTCCCCAGATTGTGAATGTACTGAGGGCAGTGGCTCTGCCCCACCCACACTGGACCCTGACGGGAGCCCTTGGGGAGAGAGCAGGGTGAACGGCCTGGACCCTGCCAAGTTGTGCTGGGGGTGTATGGATGGAGAGGAAGGCAGACAGGACAAGAGCTTTGGAACCGCCCAGAAAAAGGGAGGAGCTCACTTATGATGAGCACAGCTCAAGTGGCAAATGATGACAAATGATGGACCTTCAGCTTCCCTGCCAGGCCCTTCCCTCCCTGGCATGCTCAGATGTAATCTGTGGCACTGGGTCACCAGGGCAAAGTACAGTCCCTTGAGTTAATCCCCAGTTACCAGAGAAGATCCTCAGAATGATTCTCAACACGCAGTGGGAAGTCTCAGGCAGAGCTTCCCAAAGCAAAGATCCCTGGAAATGTCCTGCATTCACAATCACTGTAAATACCCAGCCCCCGCCCCAGAGCATCTGTTTCTGGCTCAGATTTCCCTCTATAAGTTCTTAAAACAGTCCACTTCCTATTGCCAATACACATGACCATGACTTGCTGGCTGACCTCACCCCCTCTGTGCCACAGCAGCAGACAGGCAATAACTCACTGGATAACCAACAAACCACAAAATGGGGACAGCAACCTACAGGTAGCTCTGAACAGACTGGTCTTGGATGGTCAAAGGCTGAACTCAGGCTGGTCCCCAGCCCACCTTGTCCAGGGTTATGCCTGCTCCTCACTGGGCACTTAGCAGCCTCACTGCTAAGCCTCACTCTGCCCAAAGCTACTTCAGGGGAATGGCAAGCTATGCCCACGCTGAGGTGGCCACACCACCATGGTCCAACTCTGGAAATCCTGCAATAAACCTTCAAGGGCTAGGAGGCGACAAGGACAAACTCTCGTGTCCACTTCACCAGAACATTCCCATAAGAAAATTGTTGGCCTAGGTCTTCATTTTAGTTCAAGTGGCTGTGGATTGAGGGCAGCTTACAAGCTGCCTTCTGCTGCAGCACTAGGTAGGGTGCACAAGTCTAACCATGAACTCAGCCCACTGGTCCAGAGCTGGCCCTTCCTGTAAGAAAGCCAGCAATGAGGAGTTTGTCAGGTGCCAGTGGCGTTGCACCATAAACAGCAATCCAAAGACAATCACTTTTGTGTAGCTGCTTTTAATGCTACTGAGAGTGACTAATGTTTACTGTTTTGTGACAGGCAGTGTGCTCGATGCTGCACATCTATTAACTTCTTTGCAGATGAGGTACCTGGGCACCTGGTCCAGAGCAGTGCTCCTCACACAAATGCTTCTAGTCCCCTCTTTGCACCAGTCCACATGGCAGGTGAAAGATCCTTTAAGATGGGAATTTCCAGCTTCCTGCAGGGTTCTCCTGAAGATAAAGCAGCTGTCCCCTGAAAGTCTGACCTGGCCTCTCACTCCAGCCTCCACTTCCCCACTCCAATTTACTTTCCAAACTCTTGCAGGGTCTTAAACACACATTCTCTTATTTTTTCCCATCTACCTATCTGCTTGAGGATCTTGCATTCTTCAACAGTGGACCCAAATGTGACCTCTCCTGCCCTTGGCGACTCTTACACAGATCTCACAGAGCAATGGTCTCTTTCTCCATGAGTCTGGTGCTAGTAGGAAGCTGCTTCACACATCTGTGTGTCCCAGGCAAACTGCATGCAGGCAGCACAAAGTGAGTGCACTATAAATTATTGAAAAAATTGTTTAAGAACAGTTAATCAGTTGTTATTAAATGCAAACAAATATAAAAGCTTACAAAGACTTAATGGAATGATTTTTAAGGGAGATCAAAAGTCTCCTTCAATAAAAGCCAGCTCACGTATCTAGTTACAAAGAGAGGTGGGAAACCCCAACACATTTCATTCAGTCCTGAGATAAACCCAAATTTAACCTCAAGGTTTCCAATTTCTTTACTCTTCAAGCCGGTTTGTGTAGACAGCAGATAACTTTCTTTTGAAAGAGGAAATAGGAACAGAAACGTTCCAAGAAAATAACAATTTTCCCACATCCTCACCAGCCCAAATCTGCTACTTTAGACTTGACATAGAAAGCATTTTAGCAGATTTCTCTCAAATAGAGGTGAGCAGCACCCTACCAGCAAAAGGCAGACTCTGACCTTCACTGTCCAGTGAACTTCCAAGGGACTGGGGAAAATCTAACAAGTTTTAGTTAAACAGCCTGATGTCCCTCCTAATCCTTAAAACACTGAAATTATTTAAGGACCGATCTAGAAAAAGAATACAAAAGTAAAAAATAATCGCAAAACAAAATAAACCTAATCAACAAAAAGTTCTTTAACTCAAAATTAACACAACACATGGATATACATTTAAAGACACAAACTGCCTCACTGACATGCTGAGCACATTTCAACCACCCTGACTTGCTTAGTGTGTCTGACTGCAATGAACTGTTAAGAGAAACTGAGTTCAAGTACTTGTCATTTCTAAGGTCGTCCTGAAGTCTACTGATCCCTGTACAGAAGGGTGGCAGAGCTCCTCAGTTAATCTCACTGCAAGAGAAAACTCTGCAACTCAAGCTGTTAAAAATCTCCTGGGAATTGTTAAAACAGTTGCTCATGTTTTTATCACAATTTTGAGGAAAGAAAAAAAAAAAAAAAGAAAAAGATCACCTGAGCAAAATTCCATCTGCCTTCCCTTTAAAGTCATTTTGGAGTAAATTGTCAGGAAATAAATTAGCTTCGTGCTGTCAAGGACAAGACCGCAGACGTGCTAGGTCTGCTCATCCCGCCCGTAAAACACCCGAGTGTAATGGCTAATTCCACCTGCTACTAGATAGATCTCTGCTGAGCACCTGACTCGGAACTTCTTCCCAAGACTCCAGAATCAAGGCCTAGGTTCCGATGCGAGCTCTGCCATTTGCAGAGGGAGACCCTGGGCACGTTCCCGGACCCGACCGCGGCTCAACTTCCTCGTCTTTACAATGGGGATGAACCACTCAAGTACATAGTCACCGAGCCCCGCGAGGCTCAGCTGGGACCGCGTACTGCGCAGTCTACCCCAGCACCGTCCCAGCCAAGTGCCACCGCCCGAGGACTCGGCGTGTCAGAGCCCCACACGCCCGACTCGCAGCGGGCCACAGCCACGCTCTTCCGTGCGCACGCCGCCACGGCGAGACCGGCTCCTGCGAGAAAGGAGGCTGTGAGGCGCGGACCCAGCGTTGGCGCAGGTTACCAGGCCGCCTTTTCCCGCCCCGCCGCCCGGCTCTGCGCGGGGCTCGGAAGTGTTGGAAGTCTCTATATGTCAGAAGGCCAGGCGCGAGGCCTCAGTCTACAATAAGCTTCTCACCCGGCGGGCAGCCGCAGGCCCGGCCCCGTTCAGCAGTGGTGTGTCCTCCCCGGCTGGCGCCCCGGGCCGTGCCGTCCTCCGCAACAGCGGCGCCGCCTCATCGTCATCTATATCGCGGCCGGACCAAGACACTTTCTTGGAGACGTTGGCCATAGCCCGCCGCAGACCGGTGTTTTTTCTCGTGACCCGCGCTGAAGCCACGTGACCTAGGACCGCGACCGGAGGACCTTAGTATCCGCCACGTGACCACGAATGGCAGCTGCAGGGGTGCCAGGCGCGCAGGGCTTTCTGGGAGTTGTGGTCCAGACGCCCAGAGCAATGTCGGGGGCAGGATCAGGCCCTGAAGCCAATGAGGTCTGGCGGAGGGGCTCGCCGGTCTGTGGGAGCAGAAGCTCCCTGGAGGAACCTAAGTCTGCCAGCGTAGGCCTAGTCCATCAGATCTAATCAGACATAGCTAATGGGAGAAGAACCAGAAGTCCACACCAATAGGAAGGGACAGAAGGGAGAGGTGGGAGATGAGGGCTCTCTCTTTGAAATACCAGGGGGGAACCCATTCAAAAAAACCCCAGAATTATCCTCTGAAGGGGAGGCCCTCACAGAGTACAGGCTTCCCTGCTAGGTAAGTGTTCTAGAAACCCACCTTTATCAGTGTACCCAGCTGGCATTGCTGTGAGAGGTTGTGTTCAGCTTCAGTGAATTTTTTGAAGAGTCTCAGGGTGTTTGCCTATTTCACGATGGGTGATTTATGAGCACACCTGCCCTTGGAAAGCTGAGCATTTAGCAGTTTTTGACAAAAAAAGGGCATGACCCCTGTGCCCCGCCCTCCCTGTTCACCCATAGGGCCTGAGCGACTTTTTTTGTTTGTTTCCCTGATGGAAAAAATCCTCAAAGGGCAATGTTTTGCCATTGTGGAAGAGGTGAAACAAAAAAAGGCAGAAGCACTAAAACACATCAAAATCGACAAGTTCAAAACTGTTTTGAGCAGTGGGGAAAAAAAAAGTCTCGATTGATATATTGCGTCAAATGGAGACTACTTTGAAGGCTTTGATGGTGACTGAAGTTTAAACATGTTCTTACAAATACTTATATGTTTATTCTTATAAATATACAATTTTTAATAAATAAATTCTGTTTTTTGGGGTCCCCCCCTTGTAGAATGCTGTCAACTAATAAATGTGGAAGAAAGGATAAAATTAGAAACATTACCATTTAGCCACCACTGTAGCAATGACTGATTCTGGCCAGAATCATTAATGCAAGCTGAAGCTGTTGGTTTAAAGTTTTCTGGGAAAAAAAGTGTATGTAGTGTCATAGTATCTTCCTTTATAGTGAGGAAGGGAAAAGAAATCTGCTGTAAGAAACCTGCTGTAAGAAATCTGGAAGACTCCATCTGAACCAAGGACAAGGTTAGCATCATCACAATAAACTGGCATCATCACAGGCCTCCACATGCACTGCACTGGGCAGGACACAACTTTGCCCCTGCAGCCTGGCTGTAGAAAATGCTTCCCTGAGACCCATCACAGAGAAGAAATCAGGTAAACCCAAACTGAGGGAACTACTAACTACTAGGCAGCTGTATTCTGTAGTGCTAGTGTCATGAAAGACAAAGAAAGGCCAAGGAACTGCCCTCCCTTGATGAAAGAGTAAACAAAGTTTCCTTTGTGGCTTTGGCATTATTGGGACATTGGCAAAGACTGGCTATGCATGTACATTAGGTAGTAGTATTATAGCATTGTTCAGTCCCCTAGTGTGATCATTGTCTTGGGGTCATGTCAGAAAAGGTCCTTGTTCTCAGGAGATACTGAAATATGTAGGAGAATGTGTTGTGATGTAATGTCTGCAAATTAACCTCAAATGATTCACAACATAATCAATCACAACGTGCAGCTACCCACAGAGAGAGAAAATGTGATAAAATGTTAACACTCAATGAATCCAGGATAAATATATATAATGTGGAATGTCTCACAACTTTTTTTTAGGTTTGAAAATACTCAAAATAATATTTTTAAAGCTCTTTAGAGGCTCTGAGGCTGAGAAAATAAGGGAGCCCCTCCCACCACGTATTTCAAAATAAAATCAAAACTAAAACCAAAATAAGAGGAAGGAGGTCCAACTGGGTTATAAATTTCCACAACGATTATTGGGCAATACTTTTTAGGAAATACTGAAAACAACATTCTTTCAAAAAAGTTGTTCTCTCCTTAGTGTGACCTGGCTCTGCTTTTTCTAGTGATGGTGACAGGAGTGTGATGACCCCAATTTGTGGACAAGGGCATGGAGGCTAGGAGGGGAAGCTGGCTTGCACAAGGCCCTGACGAGCAGGTTGGACCTGTTTGGTTTGCCTAGATTGAGTGATGACTGTGATTTGCATGAAGACATCCCAGCAGGCAGAAGAGCTGAGCAGAGCCCCGGAGGCGTGAGAACAGTCCCGGGGATGATGGGGTTCTGCAGGGAAGTCAGACCATCTCTGTGACTGAGCAATGCAGGGCGATCCCAAAGGTCATTCCTGTTAGATGAGTATTCTGAACTTGTCCTTTTGCTAGCCAAGGGGCCCTTTCAGAGGACAAATGGGCAGTGTGGAAAAATGGGGGAAGGGGGAAGCCAGCATGGGCACCTTGTCAGGACCCAGCTTCCATAGCAGGAGGACAGTTTTGGGTCCTTTTGTCCTCTTTACCCAGAAAACCAACAGACTCGGGTCAAAGGTGAGATTTTATGGAATTAGAGGTAGATATGGTTCATGCTTCAAAGTGCACGTGGACTTTGTTGCTGACCCCATGGGCATAGTGGGTTATGTGAGAGCATCAGACCCTCTTCTCCAAAACCTGGATGATCTTTCCTTGTCCTCCGGAGCAGAGCTCAGACACCTCAGCTGGACAGGCCAACCATTACCAAAATCTCGGCCACCTGAGCTTCCCCTAAGCTGTCTCAACCCCCTCTCCAAGCCCTTGTCACCTTGCCACAGCCAGTTTGCTCTGCGTTCCTGGATGGCTCCTTACCTACAAAGCATCCCCAAATCCACAGCCCACAGTGAAGGCCCCATCCACCAAATTCCCATGGCTTTAGGGTCTTCAAACATGCAGCTGAATGCTGCTGTGAAGGGTGACACATCCTATGTCCCCCCACAGCATTACAAGTACTTGAAAGCAGGGTAGGGGTGGAATATAATGCCCTGTATGTTTTTTTTAATGTTGGGGACCTTGCTATCCCTCAAGAAATAGTAATCAAATTACCAGTCTTTCCAAAAGAAAGATGTCATCCCTCACCCCTGAACACCAGATTGGGATGGAGCAAGAGCTCCAGAAAAGGCCAGAGAAGATGGATGCATCTTAGGACAATGCAAGGGGAAGCAGAAGCCAGTGATCCAGGGAGCCTTCACATGACCACCCAGGGGGTTTCCAGTTCTAGAATGCCTCTTCTGACCTTGACTCATGAAAGGTGGCATTGGAGGGGGGCAGGAATTGGGGGGTTGGGGTGCACTGGGCTGAGTTTTTCAGCTGAAGTCCTGGAATTGTTGGGGCCACAGAGAGCTCTGCAGAGATAGGAACCTTGCTAAGGGACCCAAGGGACTAATTTAGGGCACCTCTCCCAGGAAGGGGAGGTGTGTTGAGGAACTGAAAATATTATAGGGTTAAGTTACATCACAATGAAACTTAAAGTAAACCATGCCTGTTCTAATTGTTGATGTGTTTTTTCCCATGAAAATCAGAATTCCAAAAAAAAAAGTTGTCTAATCTTTAAAAAAGAGTTGTCCAAAAGATAGATAATTATCAAGTGTTGGCAAGAAGAGTGTGGAGAAATGGGAACCTTCATATATTGCTGGTGGGAAGGTAAAATGATATGTCACTTTGGAAACAAGTTTGGTGGTTTCTTTGAAAGTTTAGACATGGATTTACCATACGATCCAGCAATTCTACTCCTAGGTATCCACTCAAGATAAAAACAAACATATGTGTACACAAAGACTCATATGAGAATGTGTATAGCAGCAGCTTTATTCACAATAGCCCAAAATTGGAAACAATCCAAATATCCGTCAACTGCTGAATGGATGAACAAAATGTGGCCCATTACAATAGAATGCTGTCCAGCCCTATGAAGAAGCCAAGCACTGACACACTACAACATGAATGAACCTGGAGAGCATTTGCTGAGAGAAGGAAGCCAGACTCAAAAGGGCAATTTCTGTGTGATTCTATTTATATGAAATGTCCAGCACAGGCAAATCCACAGAAACAGAAAGCAGATCAGTGGTTACGAAAGCTGGGGGAAAGGGCTAGGGTGGAGACAGAAGTGACCACTAATCGGCATGATTTTTGTTGGGGGAGGCAGTGGAAATAGTCTAAAACTCGATTGTGGTGATGATTGCACAATTTGGTACATTTACTAAAAATCTTTGAACTGTATACTTAAAATGGGTAAATTTTATAGTGTGTAAATTATAGCCTAAAACAGGTGCTTTAAAAGCATGGCCATCCATTGCTAATGTTTATTTCTGAATAGACTGTGGTCTTTGCAGGTCCCCTTTCCTGGAGGCATACACAGCCTCAACAACAATCCCAGGACCTTGAGGGAACGCCCAGGGCTCCTGGTGAATAGGGGGCTGTAGCACCGGGGGCCAGAAAATGGATTCTCTGGCCCTTTTCATGAGACGTTGGAACAAGGATCACCCAAAGGGAAACTTCTATAGCCACCTTGAGAGAGTACGATGACAGTTCATATGCTGCCTATGCAGTTTCAAGGAAAATGGGAGCTCTCCATGAAGTAGCCTATAAGGGCAGCAAACCCTCACCCATAGCAGAAGCCCTGTAGGGGTCCAGCACTCCCATCTTGCCTGGTTGGGCCTTGTTAACATCATGTCGTGCTGCAGAGAAGGCAACTGTAAGGATGCCACCACAAGGAAAAGAATGCAGTTCTCAGGCATCCTGATATGTCTCTTCCCATCACTCTCTCTCCCCCTCCATGTTTCTTTGCCCCCCCCCCGCACCCCATGGAATGCCCTCATTCTACATTAGATGCCGGTGTGCCTGCCCTTCCATTTCCAGTCCGGGTGGGGTCCCTCTACGGAGCGTACTGGGGTCGGGGATGGTTGAACAGAGCTGGAAACTAGCTCTTGCAAGCCCAGAGCATGATCACAGTTCCCGGGTGGTGAGGCCTCACGGGCAGAGCTCTAGGCAGGTGCAATTTACCCTCTGCACAAATCCACCTGTCAATGCGGCATCAGCCAGTGTCAGGATGGCGCCAGGCGGGAGCTCCTTCCCGGTGGCAAGGTGTGAGACTTCCCTGGGGACCAGTGCACGGTCCCATATGGCTAGGCCTGCCACAGTCCCTACGAAGGCCTCAGAGTCATCAAAACCACCCCCCACGCTGTCTTGCTCCTGGCCCAGCACCAGGGACCCTCCAGGAGGGATTTCATAGCCCTCCCTGAAGTGGGAGCCGGCGGCAACTAGCCTTCGGTCCACATGGAGCCAGTACCTACCCAGAATGGACGTCCAGATGACACACACGTGGTGCCACTGGCCATCCAATAGCGGTTGCAGGGGCAGCTCTCTGAAGGCTGGGTCTCCAATCACAAAGTGGATGGAGCCGGGGGCCAGGGAGTCCCGGCCGTGCAGCACCAGCTTGTTATCATTTTCTTCGGTGGCATAGGAGAGGAGGGTGCCCAGGTGGCCCGAGGCTGTTCGGACCCAGCTGCAGACAGACAGTGCCCGCAGGCCTGAGAGGAAGCCGCGGCTGAGGAAGACCACGTTCTTGGTGGAGGTATTTGGGAAGATGAGTGCAGGTCCCACGTTGCAAACTAGACACAGAGGGAGGAGAGTCAGTCCATGCACCACAAGGCTACCGAGAAACTTCCAAAAGCTTCCAGAAATATCCAGAAACATCCTGCTATAGGCATGTCCTTTGCCGAAGGCAGGTGGGCCTAAGACCGGAGCAGCTGACCTTCATCAAACTCTAACTGTGAGGGCTGTGTCTCATTATCTGACAAGAGGGAAGACTGAGAACCAGGGCAGTCATGTGCCTACCTAGGGGGCAAGGCTGAGATGCCACTCCTCACTGCCAGAGAGCCTCTGTATGAGTTTCCTATGGCTGCTGTAACAAATCTCCCTAAACTCAGTGTCTCAAAACAACACAGATTTAGTATCTTATAGTTCTGGAGAGATAAGAAGTCCAACATAGATCTCATTGGGCTAGAATCATGGTGTTGGCAGAGCTGATGCCTTCTGGAGGCACCAGGGACAAGCCCCTTCCGTGGTTTGAGGCCCCTCCTCCACCTTCAAAGTATGTATACCTCTGATCTCTGCTTCTGTGTCCCATCTCCTCTGATCAGATACTCCTGCCTCCCTCTTAGAAGGACCTCTGTGATGACACTGGGCCCGTGCTGTAATCCAGGATCGCTGCCATCTCAAAATCACATGTGTCCTCTTTGCCACATGAGGTGACATATCCACAGGATCTGAGCATCAGGACATGGTGTCTTTGAGGACCATCATCCTGCATCCTGCCCACCAGACTTTCTGCCAGACCTGCCTGACAGAAGTGTGTGTGTGTCGGGGAAGGGGGACGGTTGGCTTCCAGTCGCTGCACCTGGTTTGAGGTTCCTATTTGCAGGCTGGGGGCAGAGCCTGGAACTATGCTTTTCTAGCCCATCCTCCGATTGGATTTGAGGATGGAGATCATTCTGTGGCTGGCCCCCAGCAGGCTTCTGTTATAATCTAGGACAGTTATCCTCAACCAGGGATGACTGTGCCCCCAGGGTATATCTAGCAATGTCTGCACACAGTTTGGGTTGTCAAACCTGCAGCCCTCCCTTTCCCAGCAGCCCTGGCAGTTTCCTGTAGGTCAGCTTGTTGGTCCTATCTTTTTGGTGAGGCCACCAGCATGCCCTGAATGAAAGGGAACCCTTCTTCTGATTAAGGGGCCCTGGAAGCTGCTAAACAAGACAGAAGGAGCAACACAGTCAAAGATAAAAATTGAAGATGAACTGGCATCTACTTGGAGGCTTGGGATGCTTACTAAACACCCTATAGTGCCTGGAGCTGCGCCCGCAACTAAGGGCTGCCTGGCCCCGAATGTCAGCGGTGCTTCAGTTGAAAACCTCTCACCTGGAAGATCAGAACTGTTTTTTCAAAGGCTCGGGGCCCTCCACAGGTGGGCACAAGTCCCACAAGGTGCTGGCTAAGCCAGGGCCCTACAGAGGGCTCGTGCTGGTGATAGTTGAAGGCATCAGTAGGATCCCACCAGCCATAATGAAGCCAATCTCCAACTTGGAATGGGCATGTACTGACTGTGGCGCCAGCCAGCACCCTGTCGTATGTGTGCTCTCACTCCTAATGCCCAGGCTGAGGGGAGGCCTGACTTTCTGGGGACCTACAGACTGGCTGTCACTTGGATGGCCCCATTCTTCTGAGATGGGTCATGTGGTGCATGAGGCCAGTGTCCTCTCCATATAGCCCGAGGGAGAAGGCTTTTCAGAGGGGATCAGAGGCTTAAGGAGGAGAGGAAAAAGTGGAGGTGGATAAGGGAAGGGCAGGCGCAAGGTACTTACTCTCTGCCTGTGTCTCAGGGGGCCTTGTCCACTGGCTGCCTGGGCCTGGGGGCTCCTGTGTCCCTTGGAGATGGCCAGCAAAGTCCTGAGGTTGGTCCCTGGGTTCAGGAGAAGCACTGCCTGCCTGCCTGACCCCCTGCAGCTTCAGGGAGCTTGGGCTTGGTAGCCCAGGCTGGGCAGGGGCCCGCACTGGGGCTGTGGTGCCAGGACAAGCCACCTGAAGAGCAGCCAGCCTGATGCCCTGGCTCTGGACAACTTGTGTCAGGTGAGCCAGTGTGTCCTGCAGGGCCCGCATGTCTAGGGCCAGGCCAGACAGGGCTTCTCTCTGTGCCTCCTGCTCCTTCCTCTCCCGAGTATGCTGCTGGCTCCTCTCCCTCAGGGTGTAACCCAGGGCCAGCAGCCTGGAGTCCACCTTCCGGCTTCTGCGTTGTGTCTTCCGCATCCAGGTCTTGAGGTAGCCCAGGTCGCTCTGTACAGTGGCCTGTGACTGGTTGATGGCCAGAGCCAAGGCCTGGCTCTCCTGTGTCAAGTTCTGGAACCGGGCATCAATGTTGTAGGACAGGTTGTAGTTGCTGGCGATGGCCTGCAGGTGTGTTAAGGTCACCTCCTGGAACCTCCGAAACTGCAGGGGACATATAGCAGCTGTGAGGGCCAGGGCCCAGGAGGGCACTGAACAAGCTTCCCCTGCCATGCTCCTGTGGAACCTACCATGAGCCTACCAATCACCAAGACCAGTCCCATCCCAGCCAAACTCAGAGAGGAGGGGACCAGCCCAAGGTCACTTGGCTGCACTGTGTTGGGTAAGGGCTGCAGGCCCACAGCCTGGTCCCTCGCTCTTCACCCCTGACCCTCAGAGCCCTCCGTGTGAGTGGACAGACGCCAGGATGGGTTGAGTGAACTGTTTATCTAGGTCAAAGCGGGGAGTGCCTGAGGCAGGCCTGTCACATGCAGGGCACTTGGGAACTGGCTACGAACCCACATAGGGGTGTCTCCCCCAAGACAGACCCAAGACCTTACCCCTGTGCCCAGTGCCGCTGCCCCATCTGCTCCCTTGTCCCATCTTCCCCCCAACAGCACCAGCACAGCTTTAGCTGCTCCCTTGAGGACTTCCCACTCCTCCCAGCCTCTGACTCCCACCCAGTCCTAATGTGGTCAGAATCCATACTTGTCTTCACAACCGGGCCCAGGAAACCTTTCTGCTGGTTTCCAAGTATAGGTGAAAATTACATCAGCTGATAGATAGAACTACAAACTCCATGTCTGTGTCCACAGAGTGCCGATGCTCACTACTGCATTTCTGTAATGTCTGTCCTTCTTCTGTGGTCAATTAAAAAAAAAAAAATCAACTGCCCTGCAGGGTGAGAATATTTACCTGCTCCTCCAGTCTGCGGAGCCTCTCAAAAAATGGTTTTCTTTGCCCTGTAGGGTCAGCTTTCTGTGACAAAGCTCCATGACGATAAACAAGCACAAAAATAAGGAAGAAAGACAGGGTCTTCCTTCCTGGGCAGCCCATTCTGAGATGGAAGAGAAGCAGGAGCTGCCACCAACTTGTAGGATGCTGCTGTCTGCTCTGTGCTCCTCTCTCAACCTATGCTCCCTCCAGCTCTCAGTGGAGAAGTTTTCCTCCAACTCTGGCATGGAGTCAGGTACTTCCTGTCACTCAGTGAAAGGCATTTGTCTTCCAGCCCACAGACTCTGGAGATTTGGAGGTTCCCAAGGAGACAAGCTTAAAACAGATGAGGTTTCTTTGGAAAATAATTCTACAGGGTGGGAACCCTGTTCCTGCTGGCTCAAAGGTGGGCAGTGGTGATTGCTTTAGCAGGAACACATGGACTCATGTTGCCACCAAAAGGAAATAAAAGCAGGACAGGGAATCTGGCCGGAGCCAGGGAGTCCTGGGATCCAAGTCTGCTGTGAGGCCCAGAGTCCCACCATGAACAGAGCATCCTGTGAGGACATCTCTTGCTTGGATAAGACAAAGGACATGGGATTCGAAGCCGCCTTAATTTATTTTTGGGAATAGGTTGTGTAATGGGCTGAATGGTGACGCCCCCCGTCCCATAAGATAAGTCAAAGTCTTAACCCTGTACTTGTGAAAAGGACCTTATTTGGTAAAAGGTCTTTGCCGATGTGCAGTAGTTACCCTTATCCATGGCTCTGTTTACTCTCTCCTACTTAATATGAAAGCTCAGCCAAGGATCACCAGATACTTGGAAACTTCTGACAGGAGTGACAGAAATCTGCCCAAACAGCATAGGAACCCAGGAGAGAATGCAGAGGGCCAAGGAAAAGCTCAGAAAAGTTCTAATCAATATCCTCAGGAAAATCAAGGAAAGCTTTGTGTTCACAAGGCAAGAAATGGATGCTACAAAAAATGGAATAATCAGAAAAGGAGAAGTTGCTCTTGAAAATAAAAACTGATTTCTCTCTCGACAAAAGCTGAAAGGCAAAATTAAAGCAATTGCCCAGAAAGCACAGCAAAAAGACAAAGAGATGGAAAAGAAGAGAAAAAACATAACACTTGAGATCAATCCAACAAAAACAAACTGGAGGAGTGAAACTAAAGAAAACAGGTGGAAGAAATTGTTTGGAAGACTATCCAGGAAGGTGTCGCAGACAAGGGCATCCGTTATTTTCAAGACCACATGCCAAAGAGCACTGGGTCAAGGAAATGACGGCTGACCCCAAGGCTCCTCTCATCAAGTGCCAGAACACCTCGGACAATGAGGAGACCTTAAAAGCATCCAGGGAGAAAACCTGGTCACATGGGGGAGGATTGAGGCCGCCCGCCCGCCGCCCCCCCCGCCCCCCCCCAACTGTTGGCCATCTCAGCAGAAGTTCTGGCTGGTAAGGACAGAGGAGTAAACCTTAACATTTCTGAGTGAAAATGGTTTTCATTTAAAATTGTGCAACAAGCTCAAATGTAAACTGACCTGAAGCAAAGAATGAAGGCATTTTTCAGATATGTAAATAAATTGATCTTCTGTGCACTGTTTTGTGAGAGTTACTGAATCAACAGGAAAAGAGAGGAATAAAGGACGACTGCAGTAGCTGGAGGAACTGGAGACTGAGGGATCTAATCCAGCAGTGGACTGGGAGGAATCCCCAGAGTCCCAGGAAAGCATCATTCTCGACTCCTCATTTCCTGTCACACCTCTCATCCAATCCATCGGTTGTACTCCACAGGAACAAGCCAGTTCAACCAGTTTTCACCAGCTGGCCCACACCTGTCTTTACAACGGCCTCAGTTGGGATCCCTGCATCCGCGGTTGCCCCCTACCGTCCATTCTTCCAACTGCACCCAGTGTGACGTTTTAAAATGAGACCGCCCTTAGCTACTCATTTTCTTACTCCGCCTAATTTTTCGTATGACTCTGCCATTTGACGTATTGCTCAGGTACATTAGTTCCCTCCCTGCTACGTGAGAAGGCACGTCTCTTGAAATGATCTACTTCATTTCTTTCCTGGAAGAGTGCTTGCTGCTCGCAGCAGGCATTTAACGATGTTGAATGAATAAACGTTTCCCAGATTTCTCCACAAGGACCATCTAGGCTAAAATTGCACCTTTCAGTGAGGTCTTCCCAGATCACTCACCGATGCTGCCCACAGGAGCTTCCGCCAAGACGGAAGTTACCATCTCTAGATGCGCTGTGCATTATGGCAGCCAGTAGCTATAGATGGCCATCGAGCCCTTGAAAAGTACCGGCCTGTGCCTTTTATTTGATTTCAGCTAATTTCCATAGCCACCTGCGGTGGGTGGTCACATGCTGAACGTGCAGCTTCTATTCCAGGACCCTCATTTGCACCGCTACATTCATGAATCCCCGAAACCGTCCCCGTTGTTATTGCTTCTTTGTCTACAGTCCGTTTTCCTATAAGGGTCATGGCTCCTGGAGAGCAGGATCTTGCCTCCAGGATGGGGATACTGGATGGGGAGCGAGGCCGGACACATGGTGGATGCTCAAGTAGGAATTGTGGAGGCGTGCACTGTGGCGCTCTAGAGAGAACTGGGTCTCCGGAGCTCACTGTGAGCTGGAGATCACTCCTGAAAACACTGACAAGAAGGTAGAGGAATGGCCGCTCAGCCTCTGGCTGAGAACCCTGATCCAAGCTAATTTGGGGAGCGCAGCCCCGCCCACAGAGGGACCTCACCCCCCACAGGCGCTATCCCGTTAGGCGCAGGCTCCGTCCCCGTCTGGCGCAGGCGCAGGCGCAGGCGCAAGCGCAGATGCGACCGTCCGCCCCTCTCTTTTTTTCGGCTCACTGACTTCTCCACGAGATTCGTCAAGATTGGTCAGCCGGCACCCACAAGTCCAAAGAAACTCAGTGGCAACTCTGCCTGGAAGAGGGAGCTCGTGCTCCCCGGTCCCGCGCGTTGTGAACTAGGAGTTGGGGCTGCGCCTCGGCGGCCGCAGTGACTCGACTGCGGCGGGTTCACAGCGGCGGAGTAGGGTCTGGGCCGGCTTGCGGCCACTCCCGGGACCGAGCGGTTGTGCGCCGCTCCGAGAACCCTGCCCTCCGCCGACGCCGTCCTCCAGCCCCCGAGACCCCCTCCCATCCCACGAGACCCCCTTCTGTCACTCCACGAGGTGGGCTTCTGGCGCACATTTGGTAGGGGTGTGGGACGGGCCGATCGCTGGCCTGTTAGCCGGCATGCACACCGCGTTCGGGAGCCGACGTAGACCAGGCTGGGTCGTGAGACACCAGGCTCTTGAGGACACTCTTGGGTCCCTAATACAACCTTATCAAGAGGCTGGGTACACTGATGACAAACTGGTGACTACTGTAATGTTACACAGTCCTGCAGAGTCGCATCATCCGAAATAAATACTACCTAGAGACGGTTGTGGTTTTTGGGAAGGAAGGGTTTGGCAAGGTCAATCACAGATGGGTGGTGCACCAGGGATTTGGGGGTGCATTGATGGGTGTCTCTAGACTATGGTCTCCCAACCTTGGCACTGTTGACATTTGGTTTGGATAATTCTCTGTCGCCGGGGGGTGGGGGGGCTGTCTTGTGCATACGGAATATTTACCAGCATCCCTGGCCTGTAGCATATTTAGTTGTGACAACTGAAGATGTTTCCAGTTACTGGGATGTGTCCCTGCATAGGTTGCCACCCTACTATAGAAGGTGTCATAGTCCTGAATAGGACTCTTGGTGGAAACAGTTTAAGATGTGGGAGGGGAAGGAAAGTTAGGGGTGACAGCAGGTGTGGGAGATGGGGGGGTTTCTGAGAGTACAGGAAAAATGCGTCCTTATCCAAGGCTGGATTCCATGTAAATGCCCATGGCTCCATGCACTTCTCACATCTTTTCCTGTGAACAGGATGGACTCAGGGCTCTCTTCGGTCCGGCTCACCGTCCGGGAGGCTGTTCACACCATTTCATCTTCTGAGGATGGTGGCTCCATCTTCTCCACTCTTGGGTCTCTGAAGCGGTATCTCGGAGTGACAGAGAACCCAGCCCTCCCTGAGGAGCAGGAAGAGTTTGCCAGGGTCCACTTTTCTGCCTTGCTCAGGTGCCTTGTTGGCAAGCTGAGCCCAGACTGGCTGGAGCTGCTGCCCAATGGCCAGTTGGAGGAGTTGTGGGCCAGCTTCTTCCTGGAGGGCCCCGCTGACCAAGCCTTCCTGGCGCTGATGGAGGCCCTTGAGGACGCTGCAGGGTGAGTGGTGCTGGGTCTGAATACAGGGACGCCTGTCACAGCCACAGCATAAGCTTGGCCTGAAGGATTGGAAATGAATGGCAGGGCATCTGAAAATTAAAAGCAGTGTGTGTTAATCTTTGAAATAGGAGGGCCCTTGCTCTCTGTCTGTCCCTGATGTGTAGGCAGGAGAAGGAAGGGAGCAGGAGTGTCTGAGTCCCTGTGACTGGGGCAGTGGGTTAGCTCCAGACTGAGGTGACGGGGGTGGAGGTGCATCACCGTCGTCCTGGCGCTCTCCTTCACCCTGTGGCTCCCAGCTCTGCGGGCAGGCACCCAGACATCACAGCAAACTCACAGGACCCCTTGCTTGAAGTGGTTCCCAGGTTCCACATCAGAGCATAGGACAGTCCTTGTGGGGACGCCTTGTTGGGGGAAAGCTGGGTTTTCAGCTGTTACTGAAAAAAGCAAGTACCGTGTGAAAAGCACTGCCAGAAGGGGGCAGTGGTGTCCAGCGTGATTCCGAGGTAGGAGGCTGCACTGGGCTCCACAGGTGCTTGTGTCCCACTTGGTAGTGAGATTTAAATACTCTCTCTTTCAGCGTATGTGGGGGATGAAAGGGCCAATTAGGTTGTTAGAATTACCTGTTTACTAATGGCCATTACTACTCCTTCTGGCTGAGGATGCTGAGGATGGAGGGGATTGGGGCTCTGCCCATCACACGTGCTCTTGGTTCAGTCCCAGTTTCCGTCTGATGAAGATGGCACGGCTGCTGGCCCGGTTCCTGAGCAAGGGCAGGATGGCTGCTGTCATGGAGGGGCAGTGTCGGCAGCAGACAGAGCCAGCCTTTCCTCTGCTCCAGGAGACGCTCCTAATCAAGGTGGTAGGCTTGCCCGACCGCCTGGGCAACTGTCTGCAGCATGAGAACCTCGCTGAGTTCTTCCCTCAGAACTACTTTCCTCTGCTTGGGGAGGAGGCCATGCGGGTGCTGCAGGCGGTCGTGGACTCTCTCCGAGGTAAGGGCCCTTCCAAGTGTCCCTCTTCCAATCGTTTTCTTGGGCTTTCATGCTCTCCGTCCCTCCCTGGCCTCTGGGCATTTTGCAGTCTCTGGGTGGTGCCCTTGGCAGGTCAGAAGGTGTCTCCTGTTTGGGTTGGTATTGACCCACACAATAAAGTTTCACCCACCTCTCGGGTGTTGACCTTGGAGGTGGAGCTGACTCTTGATTTCTTCAGTTCTGGGGTGGATATTGGCAAAGTCAGCCAGATGGCGCTGCTCACTGCTGGGCCCTTACTCAGTGTCAGTGGGGACGTCCCCAGTCTGAAAAGTGGAATTCTTAGTGTGACAAGGGTTCATCTCACTTGACTATTGGCGAGGGCATGCTTGTCCTTGTTGGCTTGGGTCTGTCTCAGTGTCTTTGTTACTGGTCATCTCGGGTGCCTGGAGGGGCACTGTGGGAGCGGCTTCTTTTCACCCTCTCATCACACAGTCTGAGGTGTCAGTTGTGGGGGGCAAGTGGCTTGCCTGGGAGCGTTCAGTGCTCTAGCAGCCGAGGTTGTGAAGCTGCTGCCAAGTTGGGTGCTGCTCGAGGTTCTTCACACCTGTTGTTTCATGGAGTCCAAGGACGCTCCTCAAGGGAAGCACATCACTGTCTAGGGGGAGAGACCCACAGCGAGGTGAGGTGCCTGCATGTATCTTGCCAGGTCTCCCAGCCCGGCTGCTTTTTGGTTGGTGATGCCTCTGGGTTGTTTGAAGGTATGTAGAATGTGTGTAGTCTATTGCACTGTGCAGTGGCCATGCAGATGCCCTCCTTCAGATCACAAATACCACATTTCCATCGTTTCCGCTGTCCATAGGTCCTGTCTGAATCCTGGTCGGCTCCATCATCCTGGCTCTTCCAGTGGAGCTAGTACCACCCACCATCTCCTTGTTCCTATGTCCTTGTTTCCTCCCTTCCTCTGTGTGGGTGGCTCAGAGCCCCACCTTCCCCTATGAGTAGCTGACCGCTTGGCCAGACTCCTCTCAGTGCTGCTTCTCCTGGTTCTATCATAATTGTTCCTACTTTGGAGGATCATTATGATGGTTAAGTGGGGGAATACGTGTAAAACTTTTTTTTAAAATCCTTACCCAAGAATATATATATACACTTATATATATGTACACATATAGATATATGTCTGGTTGATTTTAGAGAGAGAGAGGCAGACATCAATGTGAAAGAGAAACATCATTGGTTGCGCCCTGACTGGGGATCAAACTCGCAACCTTTTTGTGTATGGGATGACGCTCTGACCAGTTGAGCCACCCGGCCAGAGCTATGTGTAAACAGTTACTGTTGTTGGCTCCTCAAGTCAAAAACAAGCCTATTAAGATTATGGTTCGATTAGATTGAATAAATTGGCATTTTTGCATTTTTACAACACCTGCCTAGGAATGAGGTTTGTCCCCACTTGTTTGATACTCTTTGATAGCCTTAACACTGCCCTCCTTTAAAATCTCATGTTTTTTCCTGTCCCAGGCGGCTTGGACTGTTCTGTCTCCTTCGTGTCACAGGTCCTCGGGAAAGTCTGTGTCTATGGGAGGCAGAGTGAGTGTTTCCTGTTTGGGGAGAAGCCACAGTATGTTCTGATCTTCTCCCCCTCCCTCCCAGTGGCTGTCCTGGGAGGAGGTGGGCACCATGTTTCCCTGGCAGAGGGTGGGAGCATTGCTCTGTGTCCTGAAACAGCAGTGGTCCCCTTGCCTGGGCCTGGCCATGGGTGGGCTGATGTCAGCTGTCCAGAGCTCCTTGGCAGGGGCTTGGCTATGCAACTGGTCAGCCTGTGGGCTGCAGACACTGATGCCCCACGATCCTGGGCTCAGGGCCTCCTCTGTTTGCTTTCCCTCAGAGGAGATCCTGGGCGTGCTGGTGCCCAGGCTGACGGCACTCACCGAGGGCAACTGCCTTTGGCAGCGCGTCTGCTGGCGCCTGGTGGAATGTGTGCCTGACCGGGCCATGGAGGCCGTGCTGACAGGGATTATAGAGGCTGCCCCCGGGTAAGAAGCAAGGCACCTTACTTGCTGTAGGTGGAAGAAGGTAGAAGTTGGGGATCCATATGACATCTTTCCTGCCATCCCTTTGTATGTAGTCGGTTTCTGGCCCTTCACAGGAAAAGCCTGGCCACCCCTACCCTAGGTGAAGTATTTAATCCTAGATGTGGTCAGAGTAGGGAAGGCATGCCCTCCTGCATTGAGGTGCTGGGTTCTCCCAGATTTCCACGTTCTTCAGGAAGAGGGAGAATCAAGACCCACTCAGAGCTGAAATGGTCACCCAAGCTCCCTGTGGTTAGTGCAGAGCCCTGGATCCAGCCTGATATGTTGAGATTCCCTTTCCCCTCAACTGTGCCTCACAGGCCTGAAGTCCTCTCCCGACTACTGGGGAACCTGGTGATGAAGAGTAAGAAGGCCCAGTTTGTGATGACTCAGAAGCTTCTGTTCCTGCAGTACAGATACATGGTGAGAGTGCCAGCAGGGCTGTGGGCTCAGGGCCGCCTCCGGTCCCAGAGAAATGACTGTAGCAGGTGTAGCTGGAGCAGTGCCCACTTGCCTGGGAAACATCACTGTCCCTCAGCCCACACCTGTTCCCACTGCAGGGCTCTCAGGCAGACAGACCTGGGCCCCCTGGGCTGTCTTGGTCAGGCAGGTGGCAGGTGGGTGATATCTGCCCGGTGGACAGGAACGAGATGCCTGGCTTATCTTGCAGACGCCTATGCTGCAGAGCCTGCTGGGGTACCTGGCCCTGGACAGCCAGCGGCGCCCTCTCCTTGTAAAGGTAAATCCTGTCTGGCCCTTAGTCTCTGCAGTGTCCCAGGATCATCTCCTGGTGGGACAGGGAGTGAGCACCTTCCTGCCTGGGATGGAGGACATGCAGGGATGGAGGTGGGGCCGTCTGACCAGGCCAGGGCTGTGTTGCCCACCAGGTGCTGAAGGAGCTCCTGGAGATGTGGGGCAGCAGCAGCGCCATCCGCCACACACCACTGCCACAGCAGCAGTATGTCAGCAAGGCTGTCCTCATCTGCTTGATGCACCTGGGGGACACGGAGCTCTGGGACAGCCGAGACGGTGAGCAGGTGGTATGGGCGCCGCATCCTCACCATGCCTTCCCCATGCATATGCTCAGTGTGCATATGTCGGTGCTTCCAGAGTTGCAGGCCAGTCTGATGGCAGGAGTGAAGTGCCGCCTGGACAGCAGTCTGCCTGCCGTGCGCCGCCTGGGCATGGTTGTGGCTGAGGTGGTTAGTGCCCGCATCCACCCGGAGGGCCCTCCCCTGAAGTTCCAGGTGAGTGCGAGCTGTGCCCATGTGGTCTCCTCCAGCTGCTCTCACTCCAGCCCTGATGTCACCTCACCTTCCTGGGTCCTTGGTCACGGAGCATCTCTCTGTGGGTGTCAGGCCGGCCTTGGCAGCCCTGCTGAGGGTTCATGGCTCAGAGAGGAGTGGAGGTGTAGCCCCTCAGCTGTGCTCGAGCAGGTCCCCCAGGTGTATCCCTGGGTGTTTAACTCTCAGACCATGCTAGGGATCCCCTCCTCCCCATCTGCTGAGGCCTCTGGGACATCCTTGGGGCCATCGCCGCGTTTGCTCTGTCCCAGAGGATTCTCAGATCCCTCAGGTGGGGTGGGGCCCTTTAGCCTCCAGCATACCCAGTGCTGCCTCCTGCCAAGGTAGAGACTTAGGAAGTTGTTCTTGAAACACTCTGGCTGTCAGAGGCTGGAGGTGTATGGACAGGGGCTGCAGTGGGAAGGCCTTGAGGGGCCCTTGCCCTGATGCTCCTGCTGGTCATGTCCCAGCTGACTCCAGGTCTTTTGTGTTGCAGTATGAAGAGGATGAACTGACCTGTGAGCTGCTGGCCTTGGCCATGCCCCAGCCTGCTGCTGACAGTCCCTTGGAGGCGGGGTGAGGTCTCCCCACCTTGAGCTCTGGGCATGGTGAGGCAGGTGGGGGCATTTCCTGTACGTGTGTTAGACTCTGTCTTGTCAACCTGGATTTGTGTTGCTGAGGCAGAAGCTAAGAAGACGAGGGTCGGGGTGGAAGGAGCGTTTCCTTGGAAGCATATGTTCTGGGACCAGAAACTTGTGAGGGTGTTCCTGAAGAGTTCCTTCTTGTTTCCCAAAAGCCCATCTATTGCTGCAGTCACTGCAGAGGCCCCTGACAAACAGACCGTAGACGGTGGAATCCCCCAGGTCCGGCCACAGGGCTCTGACTCCGAGCTTGACAGGTAGGAGCTTGACAGGTAGGGTGGAGCTCTCGGGTGGGGAGGCACTGAGGCCCAGGGCAATCCCATGCTGATGTCACAGCCCCCGAGGTGAACTCAAGGGCTGATGGGCCTGTCTTGAGGCAGTGGGTCAGCCTACAGCACCGTGCTGGCTCTGAGCTCTCTCCAGTCTTTTTTCCGATATGAAAACCTACATAGAGGGGCTCAGCTTCACTGCAGCCTTAGCCCATCAGTCATTCCTGAAGCTTCAGCGGCTGGGAGATGAATGTTAGTGACTCAGGAGCTTGTCCTGGTTGTAGAGGGTGTCCAGCCTCAGCTCTCAAGAGCTCCTTCCCTGCCTGTTGTCTGCTCCTGGGGGACCAGCAGTCTCCTCATGTCTGTGCTCCACAGTGATGATGAGTTTGTCCCGTACGACATGTCAGGGGACCAAGAGCTGAAGAGCAGCAAGATGCCCAAGTATGTCCGGGACTGCATCGAAGGTGAGCCTCTCCCCGCGGCATGGACCCCTGCTGAGCGCCCTGTTGTGAGGCCTCAGCCCCGAGCATGACCCTGCGCTGGGGTGGCTGCGCCATGGGACCTGCTCGTATCCTTCGGGTTCACTTGCCTTCCGCTCAGGGCCCAGACCCCGTCTGCCGGTTCTGCTGCAGTCAGGTCAGGGCCTAGGAGTGATGGAGTCCTGTTTGGGTTCTGTGCAGCCCTGACCACGTCTGAGGACTGTGAGTACTGGGAGGCGGCCCTGCGGGCCGTTGAGGGGCTGGTCTTCAGGAGCCCGGCTGCCACTCGGGAGGTGAGCAGGTAGAGGGGCTGGGCTGTCAGGGTCATGGGAGGTGGGCAATGTCCTGGGAGGAACATATGCCATGAAGGAACCTGGTCTGGCTCATGTCGCATGTTTGGTCGTTCTGTGTCCCTCTAGGAGGCCTGTGTTTGGGGCCTACTGGGATGGGAAGTAGAGGACACATAGTCCTGGGCTCTCTGAGATGTGTCCCTTCCATTGTAAGGGAAGCGAAGGACTGGGGTGGGGGGTGCCTGGGGCAGGTCTGGGGGCTGAATGCACCCTGACTTCTGACCTCTGTGTGCAGGTGAGCGTGGAGCTGGCCAAAGTGCTCCTGCACCTGGAGGAGAAGACAAGTGTGGTGGGATTTGAGGGGCTGCGCCAGAGAGCCCTGGTGGCTCTCATTGTCACAGACCCAGCCCGGGTGAGTGCCGGTGGCTATGGGGTGCCAAGGTTATGCCCCTTGGTTTGTGTCTGTGCTGGGGTCCCACCTCCAGGGTTGTGACCCATTGACCTCTCATCTGCCTGGTTTAGGTGGCGGAGTATCTGACCTCACAGTTCTACGCTGTCAACTACAGCCTCAGGCAGCGTATGGACATCCTGGATGTGAGTGACCTGGGGTCCCTGTCCCACTTGTGAGGCCCAAACTGCTCCAGTGAGGAAGGGCTAGGCCTGGCGCAAAGCCAGGGAGCAGGCGTTTGCCAGAATCTATGTGGGCTGGACCAAAGGCCTCCTGAATACCTTGTCCTTGGGACCAGCGTCTGTCTGATAAAAAGGAAGGAAATTCTGACCCCTGTTACAATGTGCATGAGTCTGGAGAATGTTATGCTAAGTGAAATAAGCCAGACATGAAAAGACAAATACTGTATGATCCTGTTACATGAGGTTCCTAGAGGAGTTACAATCTTAGAGACAGAGTAGAATGGTGGAGCCATGGGCTGTGGAAGGGGATGGGGAGTTAGTGTTTAATGGAGGCAGAGGTTCATTTTGGGAAGCTGGAAGTTCTGGAGGTAGGTGGGGGTGATGGTCATACAACAACATGCATGTACTTACTGTTACTCAACTGTGCACTTCACAGTGGTTAAGATGGTACATGTTATATGTATTTTACTGGATTAAAACAGACTAAGACAACACAAAAAATTCACCATTTTAATGTTTGCAACTCAGTGGTGTGTGGTAGATTTACAATGTTGTGTGATCGTCACATCTGTCTACTTTCAGATCTTGCGTCACCCTCAGAAGAGAGCCTGTGAGCGCTTACTCCCCCTTCCCAAGCCCCTGTAACCACCAGTCCACTCTTGTTCTCTGTGGATTTGCCTGTTTTGGGTGCTTCTTATAAGGGATATCATACTTGTGGTCACCTAGTGTGGGCTTCTTTTACTTGTATGTTTTCAGGGCCCATCCACTTACAGCCCTCGTTACTTTTTCCTATGAGGCAGGGGGCAGGATTGAATGAGCCTGGAAAGAGAAGAGGCCTGAGCAAGGGGAGTGGAGGTGCTCGCTGGTCACCAGAAAGCATGCCCACCTTTCCCTCTTGTGCCCCCACAAAGCAAAGCGACACTGAGATACTTGGAACTGACTACGTGGTTCCCTAAACCTCCCTCTCGAAGACAGCAAGAGCTGCTGGTGCTGATGGGATACTTGGTTTACCTTAAACTATAAAATGTTAAAATTTCCCAGAGAGATGGCCGCTGCCCTGGGTCTTTATCTCTTCTAGGTCCTGACTCTGGCAGCCCAGGAGCTGTCTCGGCCTGGGCGCCTTGGGAAGGCTCCCCACGGTGGCTCCCTGGGCTCCACTTGCCAGCCCAGCTGCACTGTGGCTCCCACCTGGCAAGCAGTAGTGGATGAGAGGGTCAGAAGGAAGACCCGGCGCTTCTCGAAGGTCAGCCAGGACTCAGGTCAGGTCGGCCTGGGTGGAGTCTCTGGGCAGTCTGGCTGAGTGGTCGGCTACCTCCAGGCACTGTGTGTGTGTGGAGGTGGTGACTCCAGTGTTGATGTTCTGTGAGGGGAGTTTTTGGCACAAACTGAGTGCGTGACATGCTGTAGGGCAGCAAACCAAACTGGTTCTAAGAAATGAATGAAGAATTAGGTGTGAAAAAAAGCCCCAGAATTCTCAACAGCAGATGACCTGGTATGGGCTCTGTGGTCAGGGGTCCTGCCTAGGCCAGGACTGACCTCCTCCCCCAGGGCATTTGACCAAGTCCGGGGACATTTTTGGGTGTTGTGGGGATGGGTGCTACTGGCACCCAGCCAGTGGGGGCCAGGGAGACTGCTTACCCTCCCATGGCGCACAGGCTGGCCCTCCATGAGAATGTCCTTCCTGGGGGAGGGAAGGCTGTGCTCTGCACCCAGCATGGCACCCCATGAGCACTGTGTTTGGCAGGGCTCTCCCAGGCAAGGACCAGCTGGCAGCCCCAACGAATTCAACTCAGTGGCTGGCTACTTCTTCTTCCCCCTCATTCAGGGTTTTGACAGGTGAGTGGGAAGCCTGTGATTCAGGGAACATGAGCCGCAGATACCTCTGAGGACAGGAGGCTTCCCAGGGTGGGGTCTGAGGTGGGGCTTTGGGCGGCAGCAGGATCACGACTTCAACTGTGGTGGTTCATGGCTTAAATTAAATGATGCGGTAAGGGCATTAGGTGTCCTATTTTCTATCACAGATGTCAGGTCTTTGGTGGGGCCAGAGTCTGTCTGTGGTGCCTTGATGCTGCAGGTGTTTTGCCCACCCCTCCTTTGCCTTTTGCCTCCTTGTCCAGCCTCAGCCTGAGTGGACTATTGACGTCCTGTTGGCCACCACCACGCAATGTGATGGTTCTGGTGATGGTGGGGAGGGCCGGGGACTGGAGCCCTTCCCTTCAGAGGCAGTGCTAGGGGCCGCCACCTTGGCTATGTGTGGCCCTGCGGGGGGTGATCTTGCCTCCCTGAAGTGCCACGGCCCCTCCTTTCTGACCCAGGCCCTGGCTTGTGCCAGGCAGCCTTGCAGAGTGACTGGGTATCTGTCCAACACCTTCTTATGACTCTGGGTGCCACATGGGGGCAGGCAGTGAGAAGCAGCAGCGGGGGGAGGGATGTCCATTGGTGGCCCAGGAGTTTGCTGAGTGCCAGACCTGCATCATTCACCTGATTGTTTTCAGGCCTCTGGTGACCTTTGACCTTTTGGGAGATGACCAGTTCGTTCTTGGAAGACTGGCCCACACCTTAGGGGTTCTGATGTACCTGGCTGTGAACACCACGGTGAGCTGGGAGATGGCAGCTGATGGCCCCCATTTTGCGTGGAGTGTGCACCAGTGGTTTGTCCTTCCTGTGGTCTTCGCGTTGGCCTTGGGGAGTGTTTCAACCTGAGGAAAGTGTCCAAGGTGGAGACTGCTGGGTGCTGGGACTCCTGCCCACTGGCCCTTGTTGTTTCAGGTGGCTGTGTCAATGGGCAAGGCTCTGCTGGAATTCGTGTGGGCCCTTCGCTTCCATGGTGACGTGTGAGTGGCCAATGGACTGAGGGCAGTGGTACTATGTGGACACAGTGTGGGGGCGAGCGGGGATCTGAATCCTGGAAAGTGGACGTTGGGAGGTTGGTGGCAGCTCCTAGGAATGGCCAGGAGGCCGTTTGGCCTGTCAGTAAGATGGAGGGGGGCTAGGCAGGGCCAGGCATGCTTTTGTTGTCTGTGTGGCTGCTGTGCTCAGAGGAAATCAGTGTCAGGGACTCCCTGGCTAGGCTGGCTCGTTGAGGCTTAGCCCTCCACCTTGCTCAGCAGCTATGTGCGCCAGGGCTTGTTGTTCGCCGTCTCTTCTGTTCTGCTCAGCGTTCCGGCTGAGCGACTGCTGGCAGACCTGCCTGATGAGCTGCTGGAGGCCCGGTCATGGCTGGCAGGTGAGTGTCCGGCCTCTTGCTACGGCTGTGGGAGCAAGGTGGGTGGGAGGCTGATGCAGCCTGGAGGGTTCTTGTGGCCATCAGAGGGCATGGGACAATGTGGAGATTCCTACAGCTCTGGGTCCCAGTCCATGGCCCAGTGTGAGCATTGTGTCCCTCCTTATTTGCACACTTAAGTGTCCCCCAGTGTGGGGATGGGAACATGGCTGTTGTTGGGGTCACTTTGGAGAGTCCTGCAGAGGGACCTGAGAGAAGGTGCCCTGATTTGGGAGATGGTATCTACATTCATTCTGGAAAATTCCAACTCTTCAGAAAGGTTACAAGATTGATAAAGTGAGCACTCTGTTCCCTCACCAGATTCACTAGTTATTCCCATTTTGCCATACTGTTTCCATTTCCCTTATCTACATGTTCTTTTTAAAAAGTCTGTGGTGAGCAGTATCAGCTCCCAACTGCAGCCGTTTGAGCCTGCCCTCAGAGCCACCACACTCACTTCTACGATTGGGGCTCAGGTTGGGACTGGACTCTTTAATCCGTGACCACCCTTGAAAGCCCAGTGGTGCAATGACAGCTTTTTTTTTTTTTTCTGCCAGGTCCCGGGTCCTGCCAAGGGCCTGTCCTGCGGTCACGTGTCCCCAGTGTCTTTTGTCCTGTTGGTCGGTGTACAGAGTACCCCTGTGTGGATTTCTCTGATTATGTCTCATGTTACGTGTGTCAGGACGGTTCAGGGCGATGCTAGGTCTTTCTCAGGATCGCAGGCATGTGGCATCCAGAGTCCCTCATCCAGGATGGGCTCCATTGTTTGGGCTCCTTCCCTGGGGTGAGAGCTGCAGCACTGGAGTGACTCTTTGGAAGAATGTGTGTTCACTCCTCCCAGCTGCCTCCCCACCTGGCTGGAGTTCCTGGTGGCGGGGAGCATCACTCCTGTGCAGGGACGCAGTCAAGAGCCCTTTGCTGGCATCTAAGGTCTTTCTCTCACTAGGGACCACAGCAAGAGGGTTCTGGGGCTACAGGCCTAAAGCCCAGGGCAGCGGGCCACACCAGGCCCCTGTGGGAGCTCCTTCAGGAAGACTTAAATGAAGCAAAACAGAAGAAGGCTGGCTTGTTCAGCACCATGTAATGCTGCCTGTGTCCTGCTTTTATTTTCATCTTTGGCAGATGTGGCTGAGAAGGACCCAAATGAGGACTGCAGGATGCTGGCTGTGAAGGCGCTGCTGCTTTTGGAGAAACTCAAAGACAAGCTCCTTCCAGTGTCGTCTTCTTAGTTCCTTGCTACCATTCCTGCTGGAAGAAGGGAGGGACAGGAGGGCCGAGCACCAGGCCCGAGGAGCCAGGCTGACCCATGTGCTTGTAGTACAGCCACTTGAGGGTCAGGCCGTCTACCTGGTACTGAGTGTGCAAGCAGGAAGGCCCGCACCCACGCTGCTGCTCATAGCGCAGAAGGTCTGGGTGCTCAGCCAGAAGTCCACGCCAGGGCCTCTGGGTGCTGCCCCCAACAACAGAGCACCCTGAACACTGGGGTGGGGGGTCCCGAGGAGGGACATGGGGCAGGCTCTGTGGGCAGCTGTAGAGGAGGATGGGGAGGGTGCTGCTACTCAGGGCCTGGATCTGCTCCAGCGGGCTGCTAGGCTCCTGTGAGCTTACTGCTGTGTCCTCAACCCCATTGCTCACCTAAAGGTAGGTGATGTTAAAAAAAAAAGAAAAAAAAAATTAAAAAGGAGCTACAGGTGCTCAGCCCCATGCTTCGCGGTTCTCACTGCTTGGGCAGGGACCTCAGTGCCTTGATAAGCCCTCCAGAGGGGAGACATGAAAACGGGTAGGACAGGGCAGGAAGGGGACACAGTCCTCGGAGGAAATAAACTTTATTAGGAGAGTTTCAGCAGACGGTGGGTGGCACCTGAGGTCACCCTCCCCTTTTTGTGCTTTGGTGCCAGCTCTTCCCTCAAACTGGGAGATGGTGACAGGAAGAGCACAGGCTACCTCACAGAGAGAATCCACCCCCGGCCACTCTGGTGTCTCCTCAGGAATGGCCCTGTGGTCAGGAATGTGGTTATCCTGCTGAAAAATGTCAGATGTATGTCAAGCAACCTACTTGGGTGCTGGGATGAAGCAGAGTGAATGTACTAACATCCTCAGTTTGTGAAGTTCTAGACATTCCTTAGGCTTTACAGTCTACTTGGAGAAAGCTGTGGGAAAAATGAACCAACTCCCTTGACAATAAAGAGCCTAAACCAAAACTCCGCAGGACCAGGAATGCAGAAGGGATGGCCCACTCCCCTTCTAAGCAGACCGGCCTGTTCTTGGGCCCTACAGTATGTAGTCAAACACAAAAGTTTCTTCCAAAAAGAAAGTCAGGCTCTTGATAACTAGAAAGTTTCAGAAAGCTTTCCCAGCAACGGGCCCTCAGGGGTCATTCTCAACCTCCTCCACCACCTCCTCATCCACCTCCTTAGGGTCCTCCATGCTGTTGTGGATCCTCTCGGGCATGATGCGTGCTAGAGGGATGCCGAGGCCTTGGTGCACGGCGTCCACGGTCTGCTGGTTCACGTAGTAGGATACCTTGGCGGCAGGAAGTCTTCTCCGCATCTCCTCTAGATACTTGTAGGCCTGTGTCACACAGAACAGTCATTACTGTGTTAGCTCAATCAGAACCAAGGGCCTATGCCCTTCACTGCAGTGGGTTTCCTGAACACCTGCCCCTGGAGGGCAAACGAAAGCTGTCACTGCTTCTCAGATGAGGGACTTGGGTGCAATTTGGCATTTCCAAGGGTGGTGGTATCTGAGGACAGTCCAGTTCAGGCCATGAAGGTCAGTGCTGTGAGCTGTCATCAGCACTACTAGCTGAATAGGTAAATCTAGCTTCCTGGAAAGCCTTGTGAGCAAGCAGCCTGTGTATGAGAACCCATGTGTGTTTTGGGACCACACTCCCTTTAGGATCTGGATATCCACCCCAGATGTACACAGGGAGACCCCAAGGGAAGGATGGGTTCACGTCTCCATCTTTTTCATGCACTCTGGGGCATACGCTTGTCTGGAGAGCAGGCAGTGATATGTATGTGGTTTGTCTTACTTATTTTGACCAAGCATCCAATGTACCCCAGTTAATTAGGCCAATGATTAATTTGACTTGCTTTTATGTGTGTTCCTTAATCCGAGACCAGTAAACGAATTTGTCAAGTGTTTTCCTGTGGAACTTTCCTCTGGTCCTGCCAGTGGGATTATGTGGGAGAGCACGGGGTGCCATACAGATCAGCTTGGGGGTAGGGGGTCTGAGGCGAAACCAGCATGCTTCCATCTGGGATGCCTGCTACACCTGCCCACACACGCCTCATCTGCCCACGCCTGCTATGCCCGCCTGTACCTCCCCATATCTGCTATATGAGCCTATACCTGCGAACACTTGCTATACCCACTCACCCACAGGGAGACCCACACATGAGCACAAGGGGGAAGGAACAGGGCCTCGTGGCTTCTAAGGCTTACCCACAAGGTATATTTTATAACAATTCAGAATGTGACCAAAATTTCTAGAAGCTTTTAATTTACAATGATCAGATCTTAGTATTTCTTAAGGATAATACACTTTTAGAGTAATCTTTTTTTGGACATGTAACTAAGATATTAAAAGTAAAAAAATATAAAGATGTAAATGGTTTTTAGAAGGGTGGGAGATGGGCAGAGCACAGCACACCGCACCCCCTCCGGCACCCAGGGGTTTGCAGACTGGAGGAAGAGGACAGCCACACAGAGAGAGGCTTCTGTAGGTATTTACCACTTGCCTGCTGTGGGCCAGGTGCTGTGCTAGGCACACAGGACAGAGCACTAAGACGACCAAGGCTGGTCCAGCGTGGGAGCTGTGGTGAGGGTGGCTGGAGCTGAGGTCTGGCAAAGAAGGAGTGAGTGCCTACACTGAGGAGGGAGGGAGCGAGGGAGGGAAGCAGGAGCTGGTGAGGGAAGAACCAGGTAGGAAGGAACTGGTGGTGTAACTCCTTGGTGTGCAGAGCTGATTTCTTGAATAAAGGAGCAAAATTTCTAGAAGGAATACATGGTCATCAAAGACATGAAGGACAATAAAGAAGCATTATTGGGCATCCTGACCCCTGAAGACTGTCCAACATCAGGAGTCTGTCAGGACCTGACTCTGTGACCGGGCAGTGAGAACTGAGTCGGGGGAGGAAAATGGAGAAGTCCGGAAGTGAAACAGGGACAGCGGAGCAGCAACAAGGGGTTTTCATTGCCCACCAAAAGGAAACTCGTATATGCCTAGACTTTCTAAATTTATGTATAGATTTAAAAAAAATTAGCCATCAAATCCCATAGGCTTCAAACAAGGCTAAAGACAACAAAAAGTTTATTACATACTCAAAATGTGATTTTTCTGTTAGTTTTGAGGCTACAGTGGTCTGAGCATCTCCACAGTCCAATTTTGTCCCTATTTTATTTTTTCCTCCTTGTTGAGATTAGATTTGGAGTTGTTTTCTCACAACAAAAACATGAGTGAATAGACATGGTGGGGGGCAAAGAGGAAATAAGTCCTTAGACCAGGAAATCTGGGTTTCATGGTGCTGACTTTTCACACTGGTGGGAAGCTGTGATGAATTCTGGAAATTTCCTGTGAATTCTGGAAACCTCAGCCTAATGAGGCTGGCACAGTTCACTAGCAACAATTCTGAAACGAACTTGCCAATACTCAGTTTGTGAGCACTGAGGAAGGGGAACAGAGATTCCTTGGGGTCGCTGTAGTCTCACCAGGAACTATCTACTGGTTAACTCAGCTGGTGTTTGAAGATGATGCAGGTGGAGCATGTATGTGGGTTTGGTGGAGTCTATATGACACCCTTTGGAATACCAAGGAAAAATGCAGCCACGTAGAATCTTATGTTATTAGGAGATTATGATTAAAAAGAATGAGAGAAGCTTCCAGTAATGACAGAGTAATTAATATTAGACCAACCCTTCCAGACACAATGATGAACTGGGCAAAACATAAAAGGCACTGGAGAACAACCCCAGTCAGGAAGATGGGAGGGAGCTGACATTTGGCAAGAAGGTGATTTTCCGTCTAATTGTAACTTTTGTCACACGGGAGGCCCCAGTCAGGGCTATTGTGAGAAGCTAAAAGGCACACAGAAAACCACACCCTTAATGGCTCAAAAAACCAGAACCAAAATTGGGGTCAACCGTAACAGCTGGAATGTAAGGAAATACTGGAAAAGAGAGTCATCAAGGGAGAGCCCAAATTCTGCGAACTCTGCCCTGATCTCTCGTGGGCCCTACACTCTTCATGTAGTGGGGGCAGGGGCAGACTCCCAGGAGCAGCACCAGGGCTAAAGTATTTAGCAGAGTTTCTAGCGGCTGCCCAACACGGGGGAGAGTTTAGACTCTGAGTTGAGCAAAGATGATCACAGAAAAGAAAGGAAGGAAAGGAGGTAGGTAGGAAGGGAGGGAGGGGGAGAGAGAAGAAGGAAGTGGAAACAAACAGTAATCTTCTTTGGAGGGAAATAATGGAATCCAGTGTCTCTTACTCGATAACATTGTATGTCCAAAATACAAAATGTAAATAGATAAATAAAACTGCTAGACATAAGAAACAGGAAAAATTAACCTATACTAAAAAAATAATAATAATAAAATAATGGTCCTGGCTAGGTAGCTGAATAGGTTTGAGTTGTCCTGATACACCAAGGTTGCAGCTTCAATTCCCAGTCAGGGCACATAAAAAAGTCAACAAATGGATGTATAAGTAAGTGTAACAACAAATTAGTGTTTCTCATTTTCTCCGTCTCTCCCTCCCTCTCTCTCTCTCTCTTTCTCAAACAAAAATAATGAAGATCAACTTGACATGATCCAGATACGGTACTTAACAGCAAAGACTTTAGTGCAGCAATTATAACTATGCTCAAGTGTATAAAGGAAAATTGTTTTTAATGAAGGAACAAATAGGAAATTTTAGTAAAGAATGAAAAATAAAATAAGTTTAAATTCTAGAACAAAAAATATAAACTCTAAAATAAATTTGCTGAAGAGGTAAACAGCAGATTGAAGGTAGCTGAAGAAAGTCATGTATTTGAAGATAAGTCAATATGTTCTCTAATTTAAATGATCTAAGACAATGAACAGTGATTACAAATGTGTGTTCACTTTTATAAAAAGGTCTATCATTTAACTGAAGTCCCAGAAAGAATTAGGCAGACAAAAATATTCGAAGGAAAAAAATTACAAATTTCTCCAAATTTAGTAAAAGACATACATTTATGTATCCAAGAAGCTCAGTATCAATACAATGAAAATGCCTACAGACATAATCAGACTGCTGAGAACCAAATATAAAGAGGAAATAAGAGGGAGTGGGAAAGGTAAAAAGAGCAGCATTCTTCAGAGACCTGCAGAGGGTCCTATCCGAGTCTTCATCTCATGAGTAATGACCAGTGCATGCATATGAGGAAAGCACCTGAGGCCAGGGAAAGACCACCAGAAGGGAGCAGGTGGAACAACCCCTGAGACTGACCACACGGGCCAGGACTAAGTAGTTCACGCTCTGCCAGCCAGGGTGGGAAGACCTGCCAACACACTAGACACAGAGAGTTCTCGGAAGGGCAGTGCTTTGGTAGTGGGGTGAAATTGGCCCTAGACTCAGGGCTGTTCCGGACCCATCTGACAAAGATAAAAAGCAGCTGCAAAAGGATCAAACTGTTTCCAAGTAACTTACCCTCATCTCAAAACAAACCTCAACAATATTTAGAAGATCTCTCTCTCTTTCTTTCTCTCTACCATTCAACAACCTGAAACAATGTCTGGAATCCAATAAAAAATGACTGAGCATGCAAAGAAGCAGGAAAATATGAGCTATAATAAAGAATCAATCAATAGAAACAGATCCAGAGTTGACACGGAGACAAGGATTTTACAATAGTTTTTATAAATATATTTCATATGCTTAGTAAGGTAGAGGAAAGGATAAGCAAAGTACAGACAGACATGGAAGACAAATGGAAAAGAACCAATTCAGACTCCCAGGGATGGAAATTAAGTCAGATGTAAAACATGGGTAGAAGATCAGAAAAGGAAA